CTTTATGGTCTAAATTACTGTCACACATGTATTGTGGATCCCTTACTTCCATACTGGTACCTGAAGTAATAATAATAAAAAAAAGTTTATTTATCAAGTTATAGACATCAAATATTTTCAGCTTGCAAACTCTATTTACCAAATACATGGTACATTACTTCTGTCCCAGGAAAGGAATCCAGCATCTATTCCAACTGTATTCAGAAAGAGCTCTTTTCTAACCCTTCCTTTCTGGGATATCTGCACTGTACAATGGAGTTTGCCTGACATTTTAGTTGGGCTCATATCCTTACCCTAATATATATCAGAAGAAAACATTCTGGGGGCTACAGCGGGTGACGACGGGATGAAAGGAGATGGGACTTTCATAGATGCTCATAATTTGATTTTCTAATATCCCTTTTCTGCGGGGACAGCAGGTGGTCTGTCATGTTGGGGAAGAGGACAACTTTCAGTTATCATGGAAGCCGGCTACTATCCAGAAGCTATTAGCATAGAGACTGATATGCTGACTTCAACCTAGAACATGGGAAAACCCACCCAGTCATGGTCATGGTGTGAGGTATCTCCCCAACACTAGGGCCCATTCTGAGGGCAAGGCTTTAGACTATTTCTGCCCTGTGAGCTTGCAGAGAAGTAATTTCAATTCAGTGAAGAGTTAACCCAGACTTAAAAAAAAAAGTGTCCCTGATAGCACACTTAAGCTATAGGGAAAAGTGCTGGCACATGTGGAGAAATGAACAATGCAGGCGGGGCTGAGATGAAGAGGCAATAGCAAGCCAAAATGATAGGCTTTGTTCGAACATTTTCTTGAGTAGTCACTGAAGTGCTGTAAGCTAGTAGAGAAGATTTATTTACCTTTTAGAAAGATTGCTAAAGAAGGCAGTGTGGAGAATTTAGGGATAAAAGGTGGAGAGGAGGTACAACAGGCAAAAGATGACGGTGCCCTGAATTAGTAGTGGGAATAGAGAATTATTCAAACCAGTGGTTCTCAACCTTCTGGCCCTCTAAATACAGTTCCTCATGTTGTGTCCCAACCATAAAATTATTTTCGTTGCGGAGAACCAAGATGGCAGCATAAGGTATAGACCTGTGCGTGCTGCCTCCCACAACAACATTGAAATTACCAACTATAAGACAAAACAGCTATCATCCAGAACCATGGGAAAGCTGGCCCAGTGGAAGTTCTACAACTGGAAGGAAAGAAAGAAGCGCATTGAGACTGAGTAGGAGGTGCAAAGGCGCCAAGAACAGATGCACAGAATCGAGTGCCAGGCGGGCTATAACTGGATGCGCGTTTTTTTTCAATCGGAAGGGGATACAAGCTCTCAAATCCACTGAACTTGTTTGGGGTGGGATTCTGAGGTCCCAGACCCCTACAGGGAGAGGCGGGACTGCCTTGCAGCGGGTCAGAGAGCAAGGGTGGCTTTCTCGCAGAGCTGCTCGCTGGCACTCGGGGACATGGAGTCGCGGAGACGCCATTGCTGTTTGCTCCGCCCTGGTGATTCTCTGAGACCCCACCCTACTCAATGTACATCCCCGCCCAAGCTGTGCCAGTGGCACAAAAGGAACCACCTGCGCTTTTGCAGCTTAACCCAACAAACTGCAGATTTTAACTCCTCACATCCATAAGGGACACACTCAAGAAGCAGAATCAGGTTCAGAGGAAGCAGGAGCCAGACCCGGCTGGGCTGGCGACATGGAACCGCTGTACCAGCAATCGCACAAGCAGGTCCACCAGATCCAGTCTTGCATGGGATGCTGGGAGACGGCAGACAAGCAGTCTGTGAACTTAGTAGAAAACGAAATCCAAGCAAGCATATCAGATATTCAGCCGGCTAGAACACCTGGAGAATTGTCCAGCAAGGAGCCGCCCAACAAAAGACAGAATGCCAAACTTCGTGTTGACCAGTTAAAGTATGATGTCCAGCACCTGCAGACTGCTCTCAGAAACTTACAGCATCGGCGATATGCAAGGGAGCAGCAGGAGAGACAGCGAGAGGAGCTTCTGTCTCACACCTTCACCCCCAACGTGGGTTGCGGCGCCCCCTACGAGGCTGTATGAGGCTGCGATGGCCCCTGCGAGGCTGCGACACCCCCTGAGAGGCTGTGTGAGGCTACAACGGCCCCTGCAAGGCTGCGAAGGCCCCCGTGAGGCTGCGTGAGGCTGCAACAGCCCTTGGGAAGCCAGCGGAACTGTGCGGGCTGCCCAGACGGCTTCATCTACGGCCCGTGAACCAGCTCGCAGCCCCACGCACAACTATCGCCCGAAGGGCAAGAGGGCGAGAGCAGCTGTAGTGTGGCCTTCTCCTCACTTCTAATAGCGAAATCCTCATTTTAAACATAAGAGAATACATTATTTTATAAAAGCCATTACGTGGCTCCATACCCTTTCTGAGTAGAGCATGAACAAGTAGTGAGAGACCTTTCCGAACACAGGGACACGTTGCGGATGGAAATAGCTACATTTTCCATGTGTATGACCTTTGACCTGGCGACAAAAAGAGTACACCTATGGATGAGGACAGTGGGGTGTAAGGGCATGGGGTGGGGTGGGAACTGGGTGGAGGGGAGCTATGGGGGGAAAAAAGGGGAACAACTATAATAATCTCAACAATAAAGATTTATTTAGAATGTAAAAAAAAAATAAACTTTTTTAGAAAGCAGAAAAAAATTATTTTCATTGCTACTTCATAACTGTAATGTTGCTACTGTCATGAATTGTAATGTAAATAACTGATATGCAGGATGGTCTTAGGCGACCCCTGTGAAAGGGTCGTTCGACCGCCAAAGGGGTCGCGACCCACAGGTTGAGAACCGCTGAATGGTCGAATCAATTAAGATTGAGTGAATCCTGGATGGCATGGTGGTTGAGCATCAACCTATGAACCAGGAGGTCATGATTCAATTCCCAGTCAGGGCATGTGCCCAGGTTGTGGGCTCGATCCCAAGTGTGGGTGTGCAGGAGGTAGCCGATCAGTGATTCTCTCTCATCATTGATGTTTCTATATATCCCTCTCCCTTCCTCTGAAATCAATACAATTATAATTTTAAAAAAAGAAAAGATTGAGGGAAGTTTCTAGAATGATGCCCAAATTCTTCACTTAAGCAATGAGGGGACAGTGGTTTCATCATATGAGATAAACCAGTGCATGAGAAAGAATAGCTTTGAAGCTGAAGATGACCTGTAGTCATGTGACTAAAAGTTCAGGAGGAAAAACAGGCTTTAAGGACATGTTTGAGAGTCATTCAAATGAAGCGGGTAATTTATTCTTCAGAGAAGGTATGAAGTTGAAAGAAGAGGGCCTAAGACAGTCTCTAAGTCAACACTAACATTACTAACACAATCAGAGAGATAGGTGTCTGGAAATAAGAGCAGAAGAAATGGTGTGAAAGAGACTAAGTCAGGCACAACAGAAGGGGAAACCAGACCTCTTCCTCCTCTCCCACAGCACAGTCCTTAAAATGACAGAAAGGACACACTGAATAAACTAGTAACAAAGTTGAAAAACAAAAAGGTATGGCAATCAACAAACTAAAATTTATGCGAAATTCCTGACCACGCTGAGGAGACCATATTATCAAGACACAGGATACACATTGTATTTATGTAGCTGAACAACAACTTCAAAGTAAGCTCTCCTTCCATTTCAATAGGAAGAAAGGTAGGAAGAATGGGTTGATGTGTAGTTAAGTTTGCTGTTTTAGAGTTAGGAAATGGAGTAAGAGGCCAGGACATCTACTTGGGGCATGAGATGGGTGGGGAGGTGAACAGGGCTTGATTTTTGAGGACAGACTATTTGACACGGTCTGCATGGAAGACAGAAGAGAAAGATGAGAGGAAGAGAATTACCAGGCAGCCCTGAATAGTTAGACAAAAATCACAGGTCAGAAATGGAGAATGGCTGGGATATATAGGAATACACAGGGATGGTTTCATCCAGCAGGGGCTCGAGTATATCGTTCCAACCTTCAACCAGTAGCATAAGCCCCTTCAGTAAAAGGTCTTTAGAAAAAAAAATTGGCCCTAGCTGGTTTGGCTCAGTGGATAGAGCGTCCGCCTGTGGACCAAAGGGTCCCAGGTTCAATTCTGGTCAAGAGCATGTACCTTGGTTGCAGGCTTCTCATCAGGACCAAAGCCTGGTCGGGGCTCATGCAGGAGGTAACCAATCGATGTGTTTCTCTCACATCGATGTTTCTCTCTTCTACTCTCCTTAAAAATTGATGAAAAAATATCCTTGGTTGAGGATTTAAAAATAATTGATTTGAGAGAGGGGGAAGGAGGGGACATCGGTTTGTTGTTCCATTTATTTATGCATTCACTGGTTGATTCTTGTACTAGTATGTGCACTAATCAGGGATCCAACCTGCAACCTTGGCGTATAGGGTCTATGTTCTAACTAACTTTGCTACTCAGCCAGGGCTTAAAGGGTCTTAACTCTATGTTTCTATTTTAGTGTCAGTAACTTAAAGAGTTGATATAGAACAAGAGCCAGCAAACTGCAGTCTGTAAAAGAATGGTTTACATTTTTAAGTCAATAGGCCAGTTAGTGACACATGAAAATTATATGAGAACTAAAACGTCAATATTCATAAAGTTTTATTGCAAACCAGCCATCTTCATTTATTTATACATTGTCTATGGATGCCTTCATGGTATTAATGGCAGAGTTGAATAGTTATGACGGAGATAATTTTGGCCCACATAGCCTTATTTACTATCTGGCCCTTTACAGACTCTTGGTAAAGAACAAAACTGTATTTGACAGAAAAGTATAAAAAACAGTTGCTTGATATGGAAGGTGCAGCAGCTGCTGCCACTTTATAAAGATACATTTTAAAAAGGGGTGGGGAGCCCTAACTGGTTTGGCTCAGTGGATAGAGCGTCGGCCTGCAGACTTAAAGGTCCCAGGTTTGATTCCGGTCAAAGGCATGTACTTTGGTTGTGGGCACATCCCCAGTAGGAGGTGTGCAGGAGGCAGCTGATCGATGTTTCTAACTCTCTATCCCTCTCCCTTCCTCTCTGTAAAAAATCAATAAAATATATTAAAAAAAAAAATAAAAAGGGGTGGGGAAATATCTGCTATTTTAATAATATCAGGACATAATGCTAAAACTCGAAATCAAACCTTTAAACTCAGGATATAGTGATATAGCCTGTTTATCCTAGTAAATTACATTATGGCAGGGCCTCTCTTGGACAATCACCAAAAACAAGTTAAGCAAAAATCTTCCAATTACATTTGTCTTCACTGAACTAACAAAATATCAAACCAGACAAACAAAGCCAGATGGGTCACTAAGACCTGTTATAAAATTCTACGAGGAAAAACTAAGAAATCCCTTTCCTGACAATTCTAGGGAGGGCTGTAGCTGGTTCTCCACATCTATTAAGGGAGGCCAAATAGTTCCTTTACCAGCATCAAACTCAGCTTTCTTATTTTATTTCCAAGAGACTCTTAAAAAGTGTTTCTACTTATTTCATGTAAATTGTAGCATCCAACTAAACTGCAGTATTGTCTTGACAATCAAAAATTGTGACTTCTAGAAATAAACCAGGCTCAGTCTTCTATCTTCTAGGATGAATAAATTATTGAAGATGTTTTAAAACTTTTCATTTTAAAGTTGTACAGTCCACACAGATCATAACTGTCTTGTCCTTTGGCTTGTATTGCCAACAAAGTACATCAACAGTTAATCTGATCAGAATTTACAAAAAATTTTGCATTAAGGCAAGTCCTACAGCTGTAAATAGTGGTACCAATCAATGTCAATATAAAATGGTACAGTTACCTACCTACAGTTTGAGAGTTATCAATTTTTTAAAGTTTTATTAAGTAAGCTGTTTTAATCTTTGTCTTTAATGGGATTTTTACATTCTTGGATAAAATAAATATACCTTCTGATAGAGGGTAATATTTTAAAATTACTATTTTAAAATATAGGTAATTTATAATCTTTAGCTGGATTTTAGATTAAAGAGGGATTTTAATATTTTTAATCAGTGTTGTTAAGTAATGAAAAGATCAGAGATAGAAAAAAAGAGAAAATGATATGTGCAACAATAAAATGAAAAAAAAAAACAAACAACACACAGTAAAGTGAAATTCATTAATATTTTTCTTATAATTTCCCTTCCACATCTCCCTCTCATCTGGGTTAGAAATGCTCATGTGGATACCTGGTGTCTGTCCTAAAGGAAGATACATAATAAAGTTTCACCATTGTCAAATACACTGCTGAAAACAAAATAAGTGAATACATTTTACAACAGTGCTATCTATCAAAGTAAACCAAAATTTCACAGTAATATGCAGATCAAATATGTTTTAATCGACACTAAAAACTGAACAACATTCTAAAAATTTTATGGACTATTTCAATATACAAATTGCTTCTTTCAGATTACTATCGAACTATGGATAAAGCCATATTTTGTGTTTTTGTGTTATTTAATAAAACTCTTTTCTACAAAACTGTTCTTTTAAGATAGTATATGTTATATTAATGTTGTAATAATCACAGAAGAAAACTGGATAAAAAGTTACAAACTTACCCCAATTATTTCCTTTATAAATAGTGGAATGTTTTTAAATACAAATATATACACTCATCCTGACTAATTTATAAGAGTCCTGCTTGTTACTATACCCTTCAGTTTGTAGTCTTAGACAATCACTCTTCCAAAAAACATAAATGATTACCAGAGAGCAACTTCTAAATTATGTATGATATAAAACAATTTCAATTATGTTTGAAAAGATTATTACAATTCTAGGGCAATAATAAAAATGGCTTTTTGGGGTTTTTTTGTTATTATTTTATTTCTTTTCTGGGCAATATACAAATGACACCTAAAGGAGTAAATAATCTTAAATACTAAAACATACCTTGCCATGAGGATCAGCAAACATTCTTGTGAAAATTTCACATAGTCTTTTCAGTTCAACTCGACTGTCAAAATAACAAAGTGGCTAATTAATATCTTGCTATAGGAAGAAGTCATTTAAAATAACCTTACATATAATTGGGCTTAAAAAAATAAGCCCTCAAAACTGAGAAATTTGTAGGATTTACTTGTTAGAGCTAAATATAAATATATCAAATACAATAATAATTCTGTTGCAACTCACTTTATTTTAAAAGCTGAAAGTTATAAGAGAATAGAATTATACTTCATTAACGTAGCATGACAGGGAAAACGGTACAAATGTCATTCCCAGAATCTTATCCTTTTAAATGCCAACATGTTTTCTTAAATTCTGTCACTTGAGGGTTAAAATCCTTCTCAAGTATGCCTCCTCCCTTGCCATTTAAGATGATATGCTGAACCTAATATTACCCTAATTCTGATGGGACTGGGGACAATATTACAATGACTTATTGTAGTGACTCGTGAAATATGATATGCAAACATTATATTAGATATTATATAGAAAAATTTTCATTTTAAATTATATAGTGCTAATACTTCCTAAAATAAATACACAGCTAGTAAAACCCTGGTATTAAGTCAGAAAGTAACCTTTTATTATCCACCACACTCAAACTTACAAATTATTTGAAACTAGGCTCTTAAAAGTGAAGACTATAGAGGTTTAAAACATTACACAGATGAAAGCTAAGAATTCAGGGGGAAAAGCAAGCAAAAGCTATCAGGAAAATAAACAAAACTGAAAAAACAAAATAGCCCCCCCCCCCAAAAAAAATGAAAACCTATATAAACTTCTCTCCTTAGAGAAATTCTTTCCAATTCCATTTCATATTACTCTTAAATTCATGTTACACAAACACTAAGAATATAGCTTAATTTTCAAGTGAACATTCTTTCCTCACACTGAAAGTTATCAGGAATGAATTTTAATAAACCAGTCAGCTTGAATATTCTGTGCATCTTATTTATTTTAATTTTAAAAATTAGTAACATTTTTCATTTAACATCTATTTGTGAATAAAAAGTTGCCTTTTAAAATGTTTTTGGCCTGGCCGGTGTAGCTTAGTTGGTTGGGCATCAACGTGTGCACTGAAAGGTTCCTGGTTTGATTCCCAGTCAGGGCACATGCCCGGTTGCAGGCTCAACCTCCGGCATGAGGGGGCATGAGGGAGGCAGCCAACTGATGTTTCATTCTCACATCAATGTTTCTCTCTCTCACCTTCTCTCTTCCTCTCTCTAAAACAGTAGTTCTCAACCTGTGGGTCGCGACCCTTTTGGGGGTTGAACGACGCTTTCACAGGGGTCACCGAAGACCATTGGAAAACACATATATAATTACATATTGTTTACAGTAGCAAAATTACAGTTATGAAGTAGCAATAAAAATAATTTTATGGTTGGGGATCACCACAACATGAGGGGGGTCGTGGCATTAGAAAGGTTGAGAACCACTGCTCTAAAAATCAACTTTAAAAATCTTTTTTAAAAAGTTTCTTTAGTCCAGCCAATGTGGCTCAGTAGTTGCGTATTGCCCTATGAACCAGGAGGTCACGGTTCGATTCCAGGTCAGAGCACATGTTTGGGTTTGCAGGCTGAATCCCCAATGCAGAACATGCAGGAGGCAGCTGATCAATGACTCTCTTTCATCATTGATGTTTCTATCTCTCTCTCCCTCTCCCTTCCTCTCTGAAATCAAGAAAAAAAATATATTTTTTTATAATTTTTTTTTTATTGATTTCAGAGAGGAAGGGAGAAGGAGAGAGATAGAAACATCAATGATAAGAGAGAATCATTGTTTGGTTGCTGCCTGCACACCCCCCACTGGGGATCGAGACCACAAACAGGGCATGTGCCCTTGACCGGAATCGAACCTGGGACCTTTGAGTCTGCAGGCTGACACTCTATCCACTGAGCCTAACTTTCATTTAAAATGAAAATTTTTCTAATATGCCTTAGCCAGTTTGGCTCAGTGGATAGAGCGTCAGCCTGCAGACTCAAAGGTCCCAGGTTCGATTCCGGTCAAGGGCATGTACTTTGGTTGCGGGCACATCCCCAGTGGGGAGTGTGCAGGAGGCAGCTGATAGATGTTTCTCTATCATCGATGTTTCTAACTCTCTATCCCTCTCCCTTCCTCTCTGTAAAACACACACACACACACACAAAAAAAATATTTCTTTAAATAGAATAAGTGAATTTGAAAATTTCTTAGTATAATAGTACAGATTGTCCTAAAGGACTGAAGATTAGGAAAATATTTTAATACCACCTTCTAAATTCAGGACAAATCTGTTCCTATACCAGTATCTCTAAAGCAGTGGTTCTCAACCTTCCTAATGCCGCGACCCTTTAATACAGTTCCTCATGTTGTGGTGACCCCCAATTTCATTGTTAAAAATTGAACATAATTAAAGCATAGTGATTAATCACAAAAACAATATGTAATTATATATGTGTTTTCCGATGGTCTTAGGGCGACCCCTGTGAAAGGGTTGTTCGACCCCCAAATGGGTTGCAACCCACAGGTTGAGAACCGCTGCTCTAAAGTGTTATAGAAACCAAAGTCAAGTCAAAAAGTGCTAAATAGGACAACTATTTTAAGATAACACAACTCACCTCAGTGTTCTCTGATTTTTTAGTAAGTTTTGCAGACCCAGAAGGCCTTCTTTCCTTTCTGACCAGTTGGAACTAGCACACCTATTGAGGACTTCTGCCACATCTTCAGTCTGCCTCATATACGTAGGAATACTACCATTTCGAGAACTGTAGGAGCGCTCTGAACAAGCACTAGACGCATCGCTGTTGGCATCATCATCTGAATGCATTCCATATGACTCATATCTTCTTCGAGCAGGTTTTTTCTGTTATATACATAAAGATTCTTATTAGGGGTAGCTAAAAGAACACTGGTATTTCACAATTTCCACTGATACAAAAGGACTGGTTTTTGTTTTAAAATCAGTACAAAGCATGCTGCTAAATATTTTAATGATATAATGTCAATATTTAGTTTTTCTTCAAAAACCATGTTTTAGGATTTAGTAGAAGATGAAATATTCTTTAACCATGGGAAGTGGTAGAAGCAGAATAACACTCAATCGAAGTTCAGATATGTAAGTGGGAAATGATAAAAAAAAATGTGGGTTTTCCTTTTCTTTCTTCTTTTCTTGGAAAACCAAGGATTACCAAATCATAAATGAGCCGAAACCATACTGGAAATCTGAGTTGGTAAGAAGAAAATATTACTTTTTTAAAGGATGAGGATGGATTAGGAAGTGGACAATAAATTAAAAAAAAAAACTCATGTAAAGTTCTATTTTTCCTATCTATACCTCTTTCTTCTACTCTTCTTTTACCTCCACTATCATTTCTCTTCCACTCCTTCTTCTCTATACCCAACCCTCATGTCGTTGAAAAGTAAAACACAAAGAATGATGAGAACCTGTTTTGCTTACTATTATTTTTAGTAGGCAAGCTCCTTGAGGGTCCTCTGTTTTCCCTACTGTGTCTATACCATCTATTTGAATAAATATGAGAAAGAATAGATTCTCATTACATGTTTATTCTCATTACATGTTTAGATTCCTTTACATGTTTATTATTTAATATATGTAACTGCTAATTATACCTTGCATATCAAAAGTGAAATGAGAGAGTAGATTATTTGAGATTTCCTTAGGAAAATTAAAAGCAAATCTTTATGTAATCTAGTATCTGAATATAGGCTGGTGAGAGATGAAGACATTTCTACAAAACAGATTAAGCACTATTACTTAAAATAGTTCCAGATGGCTATAAATTCTCCAAATTCTAAAATCTAAAAGAAATATAATTTGAATCAAATTAAAAAATTATATAATGATGTTTCCACCACTAAATGCTTCATATTAATTCAGAGATGCCAACTTAATTTAGAATAGCAGTAATGTGACATTTTCTGTGTCGAGCTCCAAGATCAGTTTTGTTAAAGATAATCAGTGTGAGTGACATCATCTTCTTGTATGAAGTACTCAAGCTTAAAAGATGAGAACCCCAATATCTACCTATTCTTAATCATACATATAAAAAAAGACAGGATGTATGTGTAAAGATTTTATTACTTCTACTTGAAGTTTTTATAGAATACTATCATCTGTTAATGTGATAAGAAAAAGTTACGGTATCATAAGAGTTCATAAAGTAGCAATGTCTATACCTTAGTCCGCATGTCTCCTAAGAGCTGAGAGCAGTAAATTTTTAAAGAGAAAAATTAAAAATAATGAAGAACATTTTGCCACACAGCACAATGAAGTAGGAATACATAATGCTCATAATCAGAAACATTAAACTTTTTAATATATAGATACATAAAAACAGCTTATTAGCAGGCTATATCTTTCATCTTACCAATATCATTTAGTCCAAAAAAAATATGTAAGCACAAAAATATTTCCTTAACCAGTTTTCCCAATTTAAGTCTTCTATATGGATCCTTTTGTTATTTCCAAAGTTAACTTTATTCCTTTAATTTTTTCCAAGGTCCAAATTGGGTTTGGAGTTCTTTTCCTAAAAACTGATAGTTATAACTGGAATACTATACTATGCAAATAATGGAAGTAGATAGAATCAATTTATTGGGATTTAGCTTTTAGCCCTGGTGGTTAAATATTCCCCATATAAGCCAAACACAAAATCTCAACATCTTAGTATTGTAAGTAATATTTCAAGAAAAACCTCATTCAATTCATAAAATTTATGTGAGCAGAATTTAACTGGTAAATCATCTATTTAAAAAGAAACTAGAAAATATGAATTGAAAAATCATAAATTTAAACATCTTCTGATTTAGTATCATCAGAACAAGACGTGATCAATATAGCCAATGCCCAAGAAAACCAAGTTCCTACCTAGTTACATTAATTTATTTAAAAATAATCAAATGGCGGAGATAAAAGGAAAAATTAAGCACATATAGATTGTCAGAGCAGAATTACATATATTACTACATTTATTACATTACAGTGATAACAAATATTTTTTTAAACTTGTTTTTAAAAATTTTTTGGCAAAACTATATTATATCAACACTGGTTAAGATTGAGGTATAGTTTTAAAAGGTACAATGTATTTTTTAATTTCAAAACAAAGATGAGGCCTTTTGTAAGTTTTGAGTATAAAACTGAGAAAGTGCTTCTCAAACATGGGATTAATATAATTTGAAAAAGGAAGTGTCATACTGAATTGACTTGGGAAACTGGCAAAAGTCCATTATTTTCATTGTATCAAATGACACTTTCTTCATAAGTTTATATGAGAAAAACAGCAGATATATGTACCGCAGTCTTATGAAAAAGTTTCATCTGTACATTATGTTTTTATTATTTATTAATTAAATATATTTTTATTTATCTCAGAGAGGAAGGGAGAGGGAGAGAGAGATAGAAACATCAATGATGAGAGAGAATCATTGATTGGCTACCTCCTGCATGCCCCACACTAGAGATTGAGCCCGCAACCCAGGCATATGCCCTTGACCGGAATCGAACCTGGGACCTGTCAGTCCTCAGGATGATGCTCTATCCACTGAGTCAAACCGGCTAGGGCTGTACATCATGTTTTTAAAACTCACTTATATGTGTCAAGCATAAAGAGCCAGAAAGATATATTAATTAAAATATATCTTTAAGTTGTACTTTCTCTCAGCTCTGAAAATACAAATAAATAAAAAACTAAACAAAATCCTACTCCAAACTAAAACAATCTCCAAATACTCAAGGTTGACTTAGCCTTGAAATTATATGCTCATAGTGTATATAGTCTGTCTGCCCTAACTCTGTGTATAATATAGTGCATAAAACACATCACCAGATTAGACATCAGTATTTATATATATTTTTTTGATCTTATAATTTTAGTATTTATATTTTTGATATCCTATCAATTACTATTGGCCATCATTTAATTTCTGACTAAATAAAGATCAAGAATTAATTATACTGCTTTTAACACTGCTCACATTTGATCTTCCTAGATTCAATCCACAAGAATTTCCCCACCTTCCTTCTGACTCTGTGGACTGGCTTACTCATACATTAGTTTCATAATTAGAACATCTATAAAGATAAGAAAATAAAGAAAAGTACCAAGGCATCTGCTACTGCCTCCTCCACATCAGAACCTGTGTTCAGGACTCGCATGGCACTGACAGAAGCTGACAGTCGACTTGATTGGCTGATCCCATATCCTGGACCTAGTTCATCAGAAGAAAGAAAAAAGTTTTGAGAGAGTCATAAATGTAACAGTGTCAGGTTAGAAATTTTAATATCCTCAAGGGGGAAAAAAAAAAACCAATGGGGAAAGCATTTTAAAAGCAATACAATATTTTCTGGTACATATAGTTTTTGGTCAAAAAAATGGTAAAGGCAATTAAAATTGCTGACAATCTGTAAAAACTAAATTTAAAGACCAGTGGTTACAATACATTCACAATCAGAAGGTGGAAGAAAGCATGGCTGGCCGACTAGGAGCTTACAAATCTGTAGCATTGTAATTAATCCAGCTTTTAGTCGGGCCAATCTCCTCCACATTGGTGAGACTAGAACAAATGTCAATCCTCAAACCAATAATGATTATTAAATTCAATGAAGCCACACGAGGACTTTACAAGAGAAAAACCCCTCTAATTATTATCTCTTCTCCTTCAAGACAGGCTGAATTCATTCTACAACAAAGACATATCATTTGATATTTGTTAAGTACCTACTAATAAGTGCCTGACATTCTGAGGTATGTGAAGACAAACCAGATGGGTTCTCCCCCTTAACTACTTTCTATACCATCATGCACAATTAAAACACTTCATCCACCATTTTGGTTTTTTTTTTTTAATGTACAAAGATGAGGTACATAACTGAGAACATAAAACAATTCTATATTTAAAATGACATAAATTAGATTATACAAAAGAAAAATGTCCATCTGCCAATGAAAAAAATGTTCAAATAAGGTTGCTAAAGGGGAAAACATTACTTGGAGGAAAATAAAAATACCACAAATTATTTATTCTCCAACAAATTAAATTTAAATAAAAAACAAATTGATTTTAAAACATGAATATTATTCAATGGAAACTGAAAGGGACAAAAATCTGAAATGCACAGATGAGAGTGAAAATGTACTCATCCTTCACCTGAGGCCCCATACACATCGGGGGCGTAGAGGGCACCAGTAGATCTGGAATGGTGTCTGGAGGCTGGAATAACAGGACCATACAAACCTCATCTATTACCACAGAAACAAGGAATAGTGGCAGCACTACAGTCAGGCAAGGAGAGTTAGTTAACACTGGCATTACTTTTAAAAGTTAAGGGTCAGAATATTGCCAAACAGGGTAATTGAACATTAGCAATTGAACATCATCCTTGACACACAACAGATCTTACACCTAAGGGGACAGACAATCCCACAGGAGACAAAAAAAGTAAGTATTCAAATGGAAGGAAATGTCAAAAGTACAAGCATGAAACAAAAAAATGAACACTGTAGTTTAAAAAAAAAACCACTATGGTAACTAGTAATCAATAATAATCCTATCTCCTCCAATCCTAAACCCAATGAAAGTTATTACTATTCTATTTTATAAATAGGTAAACTAAAGCATAGAGAGAGATTAATTAACCTGATCAAAGCCACACTTGTTTTGTGATATACCTCAGTATCTTACTCTTTCAGGGATTAGTATCTCACACTTACCATCTTCACATTGTTCAAAAGATTATATACATCATTTATGTTAACATAAACATTTTCCATATAGTTCATAAACTGTAAGTTCTACATTCAGTAGATTATTTAAATATTAAAGCACATTTGAGCATCAAAGAAAGAACATTACAAATTTAATATTAAAAAACCCTGGAAATGTGTGAAACATCTCCATGCCCTTATGGCATGTTTCTCTAAATCTAAATTTACCATATTTAAAATTTTAGATCCTAAAATCCACAAGATCACCATAAAGTCAATACTTTTCATACATGTAGAAACAAATAAGTCAGGAAGAAATTCATTTTGATATCTAACAAAATATATTACTTTTATTCTAAAAGTTACTCTTCTTCAGATACATTAATTAGAGCAGTTAAAATACTTTTGTTTCATAAATCACTCTTTCCTTTGCCACAGGAACTTAATGAATAATAAAATGATAAAAAATTTTGAGGAAAGGATTACACAGAAATAACGCTGCACAAAATGCTTTATTAAACCTTCAAAGATGATTCATTTATTGTTAGTAAACATACTCATAGTTTTTTTTAAAAAAAATATATATTTTTATTGATTTCAGAAAGGAAAGGAGAGGAAGAGAAGATAGAAGCATCAATGATGGGAGAGGATCATTAATTGGCTGCCTCCTACACACCCCTCACAGGGGATTGAACCCAAAACCCGGGCATGTGCCCTGACCGGGAATCGAACCAATGGTCTCTTGGTTCTTGGCTTTATGCTCAACCACTGAGCTACACTGGCTGGACATATATAGTTAGTTTTAATTTTACTCAATAGAAATAATTTCTATAATTGTGAGACAGAGTTGAATCAATATAGCAATGCCTAATGGATGAAAATCTCTGTAAAACTTCAAGTAATTAGTAGTTATCTGTTGGTGAAGATAACAGGGTAGGAGGCAGCACTCATGTGCTTGTCATAATTTAAGCCTTTCTTAGTTCTGGAAATAAATGGAAACTAAGGGTGCAAGTTCTGGGGAAGTTCAGCTTTGCTCAGCTCTGATTGATTTGTGATGTTTTAGGGCCCTCACACTGACCATGTGCTACCACTGAATAAATGGCAAGCTATGGAATCCACCTGTTAAATGGCAATATTCAAGTTAGAGGCAACAAAAGAATTCACCAAATAAAATAAGGACAGCAGAATACAGGCAAATACAGCATAAAATGGGAACGGGGGATAACCTCACCTCTGGGAATGCTATTCTTAAACCCTGTGCAACAAACAGGGCTTATCTGATACCTTTACTATGCAGTATCTAGCTATATATATAAAAGCCTGCGTGACCATTATGACTGAACGACTGGTCTCTATGATGTGCACTGATCACCAGAGGGCAGACACTCAATGCAGGAGCTGCTCCCTGGAGGTCAGTGCACTCCCACAGCCAACCTCCCGCAACCCCTCCCCGCTGCCGGCCAACCTCCTGTGGCCCATCTCCCCCCGGCTGGCTGGCCAACCTCCCCTGGTTCCTCCCCCTGGCTTGCCAGCCTCCCAATAGGCCTCAATCACCAGCTTGGCCAAGGGACCCTACCTATGCATGAATTCGTGCACTGGGCCTCAAGTCTATAATAATAAAAGCATAATATGCTAATGAGACCGGACGTCCTTTCGGATGACCTTCCAGATGAAGCCAGGGAAGCCCGGGTGCCGGGTGCCTGCCAGTGGCCGGAGGGTAGCCTGGGTCCCGGGTGCTATAGGGAAGCCGGTGCCGACAGCTGGGGGAAGAAAGGCCTACACTTGCATGAATTTCATGCATCGGGCCTCTCGTATGTAAATAAAAGGCTATAAAAGTAAGTTCTTCTAAAACTATAGTACATAATTAGCAGACTTAATATCCTTAACGGAAACAGGATATTTCATTAGAATCAGGAAAACTGCTTCCTTTAATAAAATTTAAGTGACTTAAATTGTCAAATGGAAGCTTTGAGATGAATCTAGAAAATTAATGGCTAGACAACATATCTCTTAAAAATAGACATTAATAATGCCTATTTTGTTTTAGTTAGTTATTGTGTTAATCCTCACCTGAGGATATTTTTTCCATTGATTTTTAGAGAGAGATTAAGGGAGGGAGAGAGAGGACAGGATGGAGGGAATGAAAAGGCAGGGAGGTAAGGAAGGAGGGAGAGAGGTAGAGAGAGTAGAACCTTGATGTGAGAGACACATCGATTGGTTGCCTCTTGCACGCACCCCATCTGGGGCTAGGGATTGAAACTGCAACCCAAGTACATGCCCTTGCCCAGGAACTGAACCCACAACCCTCTGGTGTATGGGCCAATGTTCTAACCACTGAACAATACAGGGGCAGGGCAACAAGGTTTGTTTAATTAATTAATTGTTGGTTGTAAATTTCCTTTACTCTCTATTATACAGATTTTAAAAGTACAGACACACGTTTTTGTTTCTTCTTATCTTGTGTTTCCTAAGAATACTGCAGTATTATCATTATACAAATGCAGGTGTTAGACCATTAAAAAATCTAAGATCCTAGAGCAGTGATGGCGAACCTTTTGAGCTCAGAGTGTCAGCATTTTGAAAAACCCTAACTTAACTCTGGTGCCGTGTCACATATAGAAATTTTTTGATATTTGCAACCATAATAAAACAAAGACATATATATATATTTTTTTAAAATATATTTTATTGATTTTTTACAGAGAGGGAGAGGGATAGAGAGTTAGAAACATCGATGAGAGAGAAGCATCGATCAGCTGCCTCCTGCACACCCCCTACTGGGGATGTGTCTGCAATCAAGGTACATGCCCTTGACCGGGATCGAACCTGGGACCCTTGAGTCCGCAGGCTGATGCTCTATCCAGTTAGTCAAACCGGCCAGGGCAAGACTTATATTTTTGATATTTATTTTATATATTTAAATGCCATTTAACAAAGAAAAATCAACCAAAAAAATGAGTTCGCGTGTCACCTCTGACACGCATGTCATAGGTTCGCCATCACTGTCCTAGAGCCTAACAGAACTATTTCTAGGTGAGCAATTAGAGCCTCAGGGGAAGAGGTGCAGGAGCAGCAACACTGGTGGCAGGCACTTCTCTGAGGGGTTTTTCATACATTCTCTCATTTACAATGTTTTATAAACAATCCTGAGTACACACTACAAATTATGTAGTTTTACAGATGAGGACACCCAGGTATAGAAAAGTTACAGAACTGGGGTAAGAACTTAGGCCATCTGGCCCTAGAATATATGCTCTTATCCCAATACCCACTCTATTTCCTTCAATTCTTGAAGGTGGCAGGCTTATTTTATACAAATGTGTAATTTATTTTACTTCTTAATGTATGTGTGTACATATGTGCACACACACAGATACTCCACAGACTAAAACTACTGCATATGAATTAAAAATATCTCTGGCAATATACAGAAAGGGAAACTCTTTGGCACCTGGGACACTTGGCTAAACAACAAAGATTAAGGATATCCCTGTCTGTGTCCCCAGCTCAATGGGGTTTTCTAGGTCAGTGAAGGACAATGTAGTGATATATTTGAGCCAAATGACCCAGAGAACAATAAACTAATCTCTAGAAATTCTACACTAACATGTCTATCGAAGGAAATCATTCCAATAGACAGTAAGACCTATGTTCTACTTAAGTGTCTCAAAGTCTGAGAGCAGCTCTCCAAGTATTAGTTACCTAAATTTTATAAAATTAAAAGAAAAATCTGAAATGGCATGTATGTGCATATAAACAAAGTACTAGTTAAAAATGTTAGAGGACCATGCAGAAATCCTAAAGAGTTTCAGTGAGCCGAAACCGGTTTGGCTCAGTGGATAGAGCGTTGGCCTGCGGACTGGGGGGTCCCAGGTTCGGTTCCGGTTGGGGGCATGTGCCTGGGTTGCGGGCATATCCCCAGTGGGGGATGTGCGGGAGGCAGCTGATCGATGTTTCTCTCTCATCGATCTCTCTGTGAGGGATCAATAAAATATATTTAAAAAAAAAAAAAAAAAAAAAGAGTTTCAGTGAAAAATATTCTGCCTTTCCATTACTCTAAAATACTAAAGGCTTTAAAAAAGCATTTAACATTTTTATAACTGAGGTAAATATAATGTTACATGGTATTATAATCAAGGTTATAATACAATCTCTATAATGAGGGACAGATAGGTTCTACAGCAGTGACATGACATGAGCCATGTAATATACAGGAAATGACAAACTGGAAAATACTATAAAAATGTTAATTCTGCCCATTTTAATAGGTAGTTCATATATTATTCTGCAGCACTCTTTCCAGTAACCGCAGTCAAATGTCTAAGTTGAAATGTTAATATTTCTGCTGAAGAGGACAAAAGTACTCAAACAGTTCATATTTCAGTGGAGAGTACATATCTAAATGTTATATTTAAATTTTATGGGTTTATTTGTTAAGAAAAATACTGAATTCAATATTCTGTAGTTTAAATCTGTATGCTATTTACTTGATTATAAAGACAATTTGTTTATACAGTGTCTAACTTGCTCATTTAAGGTAAACAAACGTCAAAGGAATGTCCCAAATATAAAATTTCCTCCTGATTCTTTCCTCAAAAAAGGAGAAAAGAGATAGAGGTGAAGATACAGTCGATACAGAAAGCTAAACTAAGCTTACGCCGCGGTTATCACATGGTGACAGCAACAAGGGGAAAGCAGTGTACCCCACACCTGCCCAAATGCTTACCGAGGGGCTGGAAAGAGCGGACAGGACTTGTGTCCCGGCTGCTCTCCCGACTGGCCTCTCGGCTGCAGCCTTGGCTCACACTTGGCCGAGGGATACGACTGCTTCGGGCTGGTCCGAGCATCAGCAGCATTCAGAAAGAAGAAAACGGGAGACAGAATTTGTATTTTGGATATTTTGGTTTTATTTTTCTTTCTTGAAAACTGATCAATAACTTAAGTTTTTCTAAGGTTGGGAAGAAATTAACTCTTCCTAGAAATGAAGCATTACCAGAAATATGGTTAAATTTCTTGAATACAGTCCTCTAACTTGTTTTAGATTAGAAGGATAAAATAATAGTTTAGTAATTACATAAATTATACTTTTAAGATAAACTATCTAATTCAATTTATAACCTATATTTCATTTTGCCTTGGATTTTAAGTTGTTTTCCTCTAACTTAAAAGTGCCTAATCAGTCTTCAATGCTACCAAAACCTGAAACACAGAAGAAATAAAAAGTCCCAAGTCTCACGTAGAAAATCTTACCCACTGAGAGCCTAGATGGACTAGCCTCCCTGCTACAGCCCTGGCTCCGTGGTATCTTGCTTCTCTTCTGTGCGGAGGCTGAATTGACCAGGACTCTCTGAACACCAGAGCTCACAGTGGAGAGGGCTGTTGTGGTCAGAACTCTTCCTGGAGATCCAGACCGGCTGCCAGCTGAACAAACACACACACAAACGTGAAGATGTGAATTCCAAGAGATCTTGGGAAAGGATAAAAATTTAAGAAATACACCTGAGAACACTGTGCTAGTACTGTAACTAAGTGCAAAGGAAATGGAATGAAAAAGATTTATATATGATCATAACCTATGGGGAAAAAACATATACTACAAATACTTAAACTGAATGGTAAATCATGTGAAATATACTTTAAGTCTGGGGGGGTACAAGATACCATCTATGTTTGATAAGGACAACACTATTATGATTTTCAGAACACAAGTAGTATAAAAAATTTCCAAAGGAATAACTTTCAGGCAATACATTTCATATGGCTAAAGCCATATATTGAAAGGGAAAAAATTAATAATCTGTCACTGCTATTGTTTTTGTTGAAAATATAATAAAAACTTGTTTCATGTTAAGTTGTCCTGCTTGAGAATGTCTCTGAATGGGTATAACAAAGTTATTTTTAAAATTTTTACAAAATTAAATTTTAAATGTTTACAAAATTGGCCAACTGAAAAGAAACTTGCTATTTGCCTTTAAATAGCAAAGGGATCTTGCGTGGCCACAATCAAATGTAGAAGTACTGAGGGTAGAATAGGACTAAAAGGCAAATGTCAAAGAAGTCAGACCCTTTCCAACCTGGTGATATTCAGTCTTGAAAGGAACAGGATATGTGGTCGGGGAAATAGAGAAGGAGGTAAATAAAATCTCAGAGATTAAGGCAAGGGTTTAAAAAAAACTTAAGAAACATGTTTTAAAACTAGAATTGCCTGGGTTAACTTTTCAGGGGATGAGCTCCTTGTGAAAACATTTTATATCTGCACTAACTAGATAACTGTAAGATATAATGTGACTCTAGATTCTGAATGGTAGTTAGTAACATAGAAAAGTTAAACCTGCACACAAATCTTCATGAAAGCAACATTTCCCCTTTGTTGGCATTACTTCTCCTAACCAACAGGGCAGTCACTGCTCACCTTGTGCAATTTTACCCAATCACACTTCATTTCCAAGGAGCAGAGATTAAAGACTCAAATGCCAATGAGATAAGCAGGATGTCAATGAAGGCACAGTGCTGAGTGTAAGGCAGGGAGTGGTGATTTTTTTAGTGCCAGCCAGCTGTTTTGAGGTGACACTGGCCAGGTTTGGGAATTTAAAAATTGAAGCTTTAAAATTTCCTGGTTTTTATCATGTTGTATAGTAGACCAAATAATACATGAATGGAGACAGGCGGGATGTGGTCCATGGGCTGCTGATCTGTGACCCTTGCTATAGTTTTCTTGGCTTTGTCTTACTGAATACAATATAAACACATGCTTAATTCCTAAACTTTACCAGCATACCATATGAAATATAACTTCCACTGATTATAGCAATACTGTAAAACAAAGTAGTGTTTCTAATGAAATTAATGACAACTATCTGAGTAGAAGAAATTCTAAACTATTGTAGGGAAATTATTCAAGTCTACTTTAAAATGATGGTTCATACGAATTATTTCATGATGTTTCAGGTGAAGAATCTTTAAATCAGATTTAAGTTATAACCTTCGGGATACTCACAAGGCACCTATTTCTCCATGCAGTGTCTAAACTAAACATACACACCGAAACATCCAAACACCCAACATGCCACAAACTCACAATGCAACATAAGCTGATGGAATATTTTATGGGAACACTTGCAACAATATAAAAAGTAGAAATAATGAACTGAACATGTACAATATGGTATTCAGTTAAAACTAATATAAGTTTAGGGGTAGAGGTATTTGTAGGAGACTAGAGAATTCCTTGAAGTGTGGGTCTATTCAGCAGACAGCAAACATACAGTATAGAAGGAGAGTAACCACTCCACCTATTCTAGATATGTTGAATTTATCCAAATAATACAACAGTGATAACTGCAGTGCCTATGACTCATTTGGAACTATTTATACTTAGAAGAAAATATCAAGGCTCTTTCCCCAGCAAGAACCACCAAGGCTAATCATTTCTAAGAAAACCACAGAGTGATGACAAGGGGCATGATGTACCTAGGAAATATCAAACTACTGGAAAATACTCTAATTTGTAAAACTTAAAAATGGATGCCTAATTTCTCTTGTGCTGCCTAACGTATTCAAACTACCATTTTACATTGTTATGAGATATTTTCAAAGCATTACTAAATCTCCTTTGCTTCTGAATGTTTATACCTGTAGGGTCAACTTGGATAATTTTTAAAATCCAGGGTTTTGATAATAAAAGACAGGCCAAAGAAAAATCATAATGGGCAATATAGCTCCAAAGTGATGGGCTATTATGTTACAAATTTCTGCTGAATAGAACCCATTCTTGATAATGAAAGTAGGTGATCAAACAATAGATGGACACATAGAGTCTACAGATTCTTACCACCAATGGTATTAGCAGATTGTGATCCTGAACAAGTGTAAAGGCAGAATTAGGGTAAGGGTTATAATCCATGTTGAGGGGAAGAGCAGATTTAAAGTGGATGGCAGATGGAAATAAGAAAGCTTTAGTCAGTTCTTAAAAAATAAAAAACCCTAAAGCAAAAAAACAAAACAAAAAAACAAAACAACCCCAACATCCCAAAACCATAGATGTCTGTAACAAAAGCAGGTACATTTAGTAGTTTTTGCAGCTGGTAAGCTGAAATAAGACACTCATGTACAAAGCAGATGAAATGAAGTTGCAAAAATAAATGTAAGTTCTTCAGCTTTTCTTCTGATGGCCTAAAATCTAAATAATTAAATGTTTAAGTTTTTATTACTTAAACATTTAATTTTAAACTATAGGCAAAGAAGAACTACAACATCTTATAGCTGAAGAAAAATTACAAGAAAAAGCTACACAATTTATCTTTCTTAAGACACACAGAATAAAACAAATGGCAGAGACTGGGTTGGGGCAGGGAGACAACGTTTCTGACAGGCTGTACAATCATTTGTACACAACCAGTCACTACCAACAACAAAAACAAAAAGACACAATCCTTACATTAATATAAATCTGGAAGTCTCCAACTTGGTCTGCTTTTATTTATTTTGGTTAACCATCAGAACACACCTGCTTTGATCCAAGAGTTTTTTTTTTTTAAATGACGACATAAAAATATGGAAATACCATGCAAACTCTAATGAATTATTCTACAACAAAGTGAGATGGGTATCACAACAATAATTCTGTAAACATATTATAAGGAAACTTGCATCAAATTCTATTGGGCCACAATATCTTTTTTCAAGAGGATTTGGAATGGAACATATAGTCATTCAAATAAATAAGCAAGCAAAAACTTCTCCAACATGATTTAAACCTAAGTATAGTAAAAATGTCTTCTAGTTTTAAAATTCTACTTAGGTCTAAAAGCCTATCATTACGTTCTCACTCTTTAGGAAAGATTTTGAAGTATTGTGGATTAGGGTTTTGAAGTTAAAAAAAAATCAATATGAAAAAATTGCTACATTCTACTGAAGTAGTTAAAATACACCTAAAAGTGAGGTCCTTAAGCAATGTATTAAAAAACCATACACAAAGCACTTTGAATCTCTATTGAGTTCAGTCTTTAAACTTCACGTTTTCAAACTTCACCATTATTTATTTCTTTGTTTCCTGAAGGCCACAGAATAACACAGTATAGAAGTACCCAACAGGAGTATAAAATTAAGTTGACATTGGATTATGAATAACAAATTTTATTAGCTAAAAAATATAGTACTTACTCTGGGCCCAGGCACTGTCTTAAGTGTATTAAATGTACTACATATCATTTAATCCTCACAACAATCGTATGAGAATATCCTCTTTATTTTACAGATGAGTATACGAAAATACAACTTAAAAAAATCCAGAGGGGCCATGATTCAAATCTGGGCAGTATGGCGCTAGAGTCTATGATTTTTACCCCAATATATATTTATTGATTTCAGAGAGGAAGGAAGAGGGAGAGAGAGATAGAAATATCAATGACAAGAGAGAATCATTGGCTGGCTGCCTCCTGCACTTCCCCCTACTGGGGATCGAGCTCTCAACCCAGGCATGTGCCCTTGACTGGAATCAAACCCGGTACCTTTCAGTCTGCAGGCTGATGCTCTAGCCACTGAGCCAAATCAGCTAGGGCTCTGTGATTTAAATAAATAATTCTCAAACTTTTTTGTAATACAAATTATTTGGTGATCTTATTATAGACTGAACTGAATATGGCATGAGATTATGCATTCCTAACAAGTTCCTGGTGATGCTGATGCTGGTCTGGGCAGACATTTGGAGTATCAAGGCTCTACTGTGGCACACTGCTAAATATTAAGTTACTTTAAAAAATTATTCCAAAAACACACAAGGTCAGGGAAGACTGTGATATTATTCATTCCTAATTGGTTAGAAGAGCCCTTACCCAGAAGGCATTTGCCATTTTTTTCTATTTGTAAAATCTGTAATTTTACTGAGCATGTCTGCTTATTTTTAGGACTCTTGTTGACTGCTCCCACCGTTACTCTGCCTGGATTTTTTGGCTTTGGAAAGAGGAGGAGAGAGAATCTGCTAGGTAGAATTATATATTCACCACCCTGGCCTTCTCCAAGCCCAGCTATCTTTTCTTTGATTCCAAGATTCAGGAATCAAGTTAAAAAGGAGACAAAATAGGGCTTCTTTATCTTGATAAATCACCTAAGCAACATGGAAGATAGTTAAATCTATTCCTTTCCAAAATAGCCTGTATGTATAACCCCAGAATGACTTTCCTAGAAAAAAATTTCTAGAAATAAGTGCTACTGAAAATCTTTTGATAAAGAAGGAATGGGAACAAGCTGCTTTAAGTTAATAATGCCATAAGTTTATGTGTTACTGTTCTGGAACATGTAGAAATGGATCATTCATTTTACCTAGGCCTCAAAATTGTGCTTTTTAACAACTGGCCTTATAGAGAAGCTCAGCTTCCAATAAAATAGCAAAAATATAAATATTAAATTTAATAAGAAATGTAACAGAACCGGTCATTTTAATTTGTTTCCTCACTATGAATCAGTTTATAGCTGCCAAAAATGCTAACTATATTCTAATAGATTTTGGGGCAAATATGAAGATACCATGTATCTGTCCTTGAATAGCATTAGCTAGATGCAACCAGATTAGATGTTAATACATGGCAATTACTTTGCCTCTAAAAAGCACAATTTTCCACATTTGCAAGTTTCTGAGTAAACTGTCAAAACTTTAATACTAAGAGATCTGTGCTACTTAAAATATCTGCATGCAAAAGTTTATACAGCAGATGAAGTTTTTCTTTCTAAGTGGCAGATATTAATGATGCAGCCCTAATAACACACCAAAGACAAGACAACACCCACTCAAAAAAATTCCAAAACATGCACAACAACTGACCCAAAACATTGAAAAAAAAAAAATACCTTCATTTTTGTCAGGTGATGATGAACCTAAAGTATAGAACAAGAACTCAGTATGTGGCTTGTCTTTTTAAAATTAGCTTTGTCTTTATCCACTGGTCAATCTCCTAATACAGTAATATATAAGCAACACACTTATCATAACATATTACAAATATAGGAAAACTGATAGGCAATACGTACGCTGTGACTGAGACACCATTTTTGTTCGACTTCTTCCTCTAGAATCTGTCTTGGCATTTCCTATGCCAGCAAGTGGTGCTGAAAGCTTCGCTCTCACCCGACCTAAGAAATAAAATTTTTTTACATAAATAAAGGCAGGTTTGTATAATAATATTTAGTAACGGGGGAGGGGGGGAACTCACTAAAATTTTCTAATTGAGTATGGTTTCCAAGTATTCTTAAATTCTGTAATAATAGAGTCATCACTTATAGGTTATACTTCTCTTAAAATTTTAAAAATACATACTGTTTTTTATATGTTCCACCATAAGCTAAATTTCCATCAAGGATAAGAGTAAAATCAAACTAAAAGATTTCTATTCTTAGTTTGATTAGTCCAGTAGAATTATAACTAAGAAAGTTACCATAGACATTCTATTTGTTTCTTAATTGGTAATTCCAACTCTAAAATTTCAGTATCTATGACATTTATTCTCAAATCTAGAGTATATTAAATAAAGGAACAACAACTCAAACAATTCATTTAACTGAAAATATACTTCTTCTAAAGGGATTTGAAAGAACATCTTACTAGGTAAAATATTTAATCCTGTTATCCTGTGCTAAACATCAGATTACTACAGAGGGATATGGATGTGTTTACCATTGCCTTCCCCCAAGCAACCAATCTATTCTATAATAATAAAAGCGTAATATGCTAATTAGACCAGACAGCCGAATGACCTTCTGGACAACCTTCTGGATGAGCCGGGGCTGCGAGGGCCAAGGCAGTGGAGGGCCAAGCCCCTTGCACGAATTTCGTGCATCAGGGCTCTAGTTTCATTTATAAAATGATCTGAGAAGTAACTATCACACAAAAGTTGGCAACTTTCTCAACACATTTCCTTCTCTACCTCTCAGTTGTACTCCATTCTCCTCTACGAGACTCATCCCCTCCACAAAACCAAGCCACAAATATCTATCTCTGGAGCTTTTAAACCATAAGATATGATGCTTATTAAAGCAGGTACTTGGGTCTTCTTAAGATATAGTTTCAACCACTATCAAAGCAGAACCAATACCAAACAAACACAAAGAAGGGCTCAGAATCTTTTTTATTAAAAGGTACAATTTGTAGGGCAATCACAATGTACTGCCTAGCCTTATATGACTATATCAGTCACGAAAAATAACCAGAATAGTAAGGAGAAATTACAAAATTAAGAGAGTAAGAATTGGGAATAAAACAAAAGCAAAACCAGAAGTATAGTTGGTAGAGTACTGCACTCTATCAACTTCTTCAAGGTTCCATAAAAAAGCCCATAGTTTAGGCCTTTCACCCTTTTAGAGTCTGTTTAGAGTTGGATACAATGTTCTCCTGACTAAGAAATAAAACAGAAAGATAAAATTATTATTTTTGAAACAGAGAGTTTATCCAATATAACGAAGAAATTAGGATAAGTATTGGTACTACATTCTAAATTACAATGACACAGTGCCAGAAACCATTTTTATAACGAATTCCAACTTAAAACATAAAATATGAAAAGATCTGAAAGTGTCACATCCATGTCAAACTTAGGAAAAAGAAAATGTGTATCCAATCAGCGATTTAATAAGACAGACTTTATGTAGAATAAATATAAAAATTAAATTTTTCCTTCTCTACAAATTAAAAAGCAATAAATATTAATTTTTAAGTAAGCTGGCTCAGTAAAATAAAATATTATATCTAGCAAGCTTTTTGTACTCTCAAATTCAAATCACATATGTAATTCCCCAGTAACTAATTAAAAAACAAAGATACATTTAAAAGCTGATGATATTTAAACTCCAATAAGGCAATGGGACATGCTTCCCCAAAGTATAAGTGAGTTGGCATACATTAAAAAAACATAAACACAAAAACAAAAGAAAAGCATTACTGTCACTATGGAAACAAATGGAACTGTGTGCTAACTTTATACTAGATATTATTAAACATGTTAAGCAATTATGTTTTTCCAGCATGAGATGATCGAAGATACAAAGCAAAACTCCGGAATGAAGAATTAAAAAAAAAAAATCCACATACATAACTAACACAACCAAGCATAAATGTAGAAGCTACCACAGCTGGCAAATAATATAGATTTGCAAAGAAATTAGCCTATTTTAGTTTTTAATATTTAATTCCTATTGATGAAAATATTAATATAGAGGTATGTGTGTTACTAGCAAAATGCATAAGTCTTACCATCTTCGGATGCTGTTCCTAAATAAGAGAAATAAAACAATAACATTTCAACAAATTCTGCCAATGCTAATTGTTAAGACCTACTTTGTGACTCCCACCCAAAACTAAAATGAAAGGATAAAAACAAAACCTCCTCCTCTAATAGTCTTCAGTTAAGGTTCATTTTGACAAAGAACAAAAATTGAGGTAACCTAATGACTCACAGCACAAAAGGTTAAAACTAGGCAATTGAAAATGGCAAAATTCCATAACGTAAACTTTTTTCCTGCTGTATTTCATACTCAAAATTTGAAATGATGAAGAAAATCAGGAAAATTAATCACTCAAGAAAGATGCAACTGCCATTATTTCCCTTTGAAATGAAGATTTTCATAGATCTTTCCAGAGTAAGAATATTTTCGGTGCATTTTCAAAGTTAGTCCACAAGAGAACTAGAAAAGCTAACTGACAAACATAGGAACCAAATCCACGACCTAGGCCTCATTAACCCAGTATTGTCACCAAAGCATTATAAAGGCCTATCAATTCATCAGCTATTTACTCAACATTTATGTTTGTTCCCTAAGATGTCAATGAAAATGAGCAAAAATGACCAAACACAAATATCATAGCTCACTACTACTAAAGGGCAATAACAGATGTCTCTCTGTGTATATATAGATATTTTTTAAAATATAGGATTGAGCATCACATCAGTGAGAGTAACACAGCACATAACGAGTGTTTTGTCAAATAGGCTGTTTCTGACCCAAACAGGAAAATATTTTATCTGAAAAGAATGATTTGTTTTTAAAGGATCCACAATATCTCAGTGATAGAAGTCATATAAAGGGTTTGATGGACTTTCATTTCATTCAAAAAATTTTAAAAATTTATGAAATATATTAAACATTAGAGAAGCATAGAGACTAATATAAGTAACACTCATGTGCCCAATACATGATTAAATGTTCCATTTCTTCAGAATGAAAGATGTATCAATTTCAGAGATTATGTAAAAATTCACAGAAAAATCCAGTTCTCCATTTTTCCTTGATCTCATACTGTGACTTAGAGATTCAACATCTTCTTACAACCTCTTTCATAAAACTCAAATTCCTAGGTAACATGAAGGTACCTAATGCAGTGAAGGGAAAGTGTGGACAAAATACTGCCTATTAATAGACAAAAAAATACCTCCCAGATAAAAAAAAATACTATATTGAACCAAGTAACAAAAAATTATTTGAATAATGATTTAAAGGCAAAGCTTAAAGTCAAGTTTTGATCAAATGTTAGTTTAAAAGTCACTCTTGAAAAGATAGCATCTGTAACTTGAATTTTATATTCATAAATAAGCAACTGAATCTGAAAAACTTGTCATTTGTTTCTCTGTATCAGAGTCTGTAAACGAAAGAATTGAATCAAATAATTTATGAGATTCCTTTCTATTCTTCTAAGTCTGATATATCAGAGAAAAACTTAAGAAATCAAGATTATTACTAAGAGCTCAAGTAAAAACATTTAAGATAACCGATTTAACTTACAACAAACAGTAATCTAGTATTTGGGTAGACTGGGAAACCCCAAAATAGATATGCCTAACCTAAAATAAAACCACATCGTGTAGGCATTTTCACATTAAGATTGCTGCTAAATAAGCAGTCTATTTTCAGAAATGAAGAAAATAAAGATATTAAATAGAATCTAAGAACCATAAAAATCTTTAGTAATAGAATCAGGGAGTTCTTACCATCCATCTTGTCAGAAGTATCCTCTATGATGAAAAAGCAAGTAAAGAACAGAGGAAAACTTAGTATATTAGAAAAAATGAATATATAAGACCCAGAAAACATTATTTTTAAGAAGAGTTCATAGCATAGACATATATATGTGAAGCTTGTTTTCAACTAAAACATTAAATAAGATGAGGTTCCTCGTAGCTAGAGACAACAACAACAACAACAAAAAAAACCTGAGTCTGATTTTTACTAGCCTAGACAGAGAAGTTAGTGAAGCCCATGTCCTAATCTTGGACCCTTGCCATCATCAGGTAAACCCTCTGCTCTTGTCTGTTGAGTTTCTCCTAATCAGAGTCCTACCTTGCCTTGCTTATTCTTTTCCTCTGTAGCCTACAGGAAACCAAAAATTCTACTCTTAAGCTCTCTCTTCATTATCTTATCTAGTGCCTGTTGCTCCGCCCCCCCCCCCCGCCCCCCTTTCTTAGAACTCTCAGGCCCTATAAAACCTTATGTCTGGATAAAACTACTTAATGTTTTTACTCCACTACTTGAGGTGCCCAACAGAGAAAATCACAAAACCATGAAATCATGCAGACTGGCACTATAAAAACTGGGATAATTATCAGGCTTTGTGTCTGTGCAGGAAAGTATTAACGTATCAGGTTTGAGTTGATCTTAAGGATCTTATGGGGCAGGCCTTTGGGAATTTTGTTCTGGATGCACCCTATAACAATGAAAGGTTATTCTGTGTGCAAGATGAGGGGTGGAGGGAGGAATACTAGGTCTTAAGCCAGCTTCCCTGGGCAGAAACACTGGGAATATGTTCCTGCTTTTTACTGCTGGAGGAAGGAGCACTTATGTGCAGCCCCTCATCTTCACCTCTGGGAGGGAGAACTTTGAAAGGCTACCCGATGAGTCTTTTTCCTTGCTGATCCTGCTACATGTCCTTTCACTGTAATAAACCTCAGCCATGAATACAACTGCCTCTGAGTCCTGTGAATCCTTCTATCAAGTGCCCAAATATGGGTGGCTGTAGGGAGTCCAGAATGCCCACAACTTGTGCCCCCTCAATGGCTATTCCAAAACTCAAGCCACTTCTCGGACACCCTGCTTTTTATTAGCACATGATCCTGACTCTGACTCCCAGGCATCAACACAACCACCTCCTAGATGACACTTTTCCTAATGTCCACTCCCCAATTCCCAAATACATCTGAATCTACAACCTTCATTTCCTTCCCTTCTACATCAGCGAAACTGGTGGCCCTTCCATATCCAAGGTGAACTTCCCAGCTATGCTCTATACTCCCATTCCTCAGGTCTTCCATGAAATTTTGGTCATAAATAATTTCCTCTCATCCTTGCATTGTTAACTTCGTCTCTACTGACTCTACCATCTTAGGATACAAACATATTTAACTCCTCTGATCTTAAACAAAAAGTTCATTAACCTTTTTTATTTCATTTTGTTATTTTTTCCAGTGATTTTTAGAGAGAATGGAAGGGAGGGGGGGAAAGAGGCAGAGAGAGGAGGGAGGGAGGGAGGGAGGGGGAGAGAGAGAGAGAAAAAGAGAGAAACATGAATTGGTTGCCTCAGCACAGGCACCCCTACCGAGGATGGGGATCAAACCTTGACTGGGAATCACACCCAAAATCCTGCTGTGCTCAGGCCGATGCTCTAAACACTTAGCAACACTGGCCAGGGCCATTTTTTCTTTTTTTTTTTTAAAAAAAGCTAATAACCTTTAACTACAAAAATTCCCCACAATGGTCTTTCAGTGCTTATTAAGCACAGCAAAACTTTAGATTCTTTTCCCAGCTTCTTCCACAATTAACTGAAATCTGACTCCTGTCCACATGACACCAACAAAACCACTTATTTTCTTTTCTATTTTAGCAATTCCATAAACCCAGTTGTTGAGAACAAATATTCATAAATATGCATACATATATCAAGGCTTCCTTAACATAAATTATGGTTTCCCATGGCACCAAGCTTTCCTCTTCAGGATCAAGTTTTAAAGGGTAAACTCCAAAACACTCCTAATATTCCTAGTTTCCAAAGGATTTGGTACTTTAGTGGAAGAAAAAACCAAGCGCTACAGGAAAGGAGCTCATTGTCCCTATGAACCTGGGTCAGATGAAGAAAAGAGAATAGAGGACAGGATACCTTTCCCTTCTTTAATGAAGCAAACATGAAATTCAAACTTTAAAGAACCAAAAGAAACAAATTAAGTCAATCTCATGGCATTATTCTAGGCTTTCTTATGAAAAAAATGTTACAAATTAGCTTTCTATTTACATTAAAACATTTCAAATATAATATTTTTGTGGTATTACAATGAATAGATATTAAATGTATTTTATTTTGAAGACTTAGGATGAATAAGTTTTATTTTTATTGGTTTTCCAGTTTTTTCCCACTTAGAAGATTAAAATGTAATTCATGTACTATAAAATTCACTTTCATAGTATACAAGTCAGTGTTTTTTAATATACTCACAAGGTTGTACAACCCCCATTACTACCTAATTCCAGAACAGTTTCATCACTCCAAGAAGAACTCAGACCCATTAGGAGTCACTCCCTACAGCCCTGACTCCCAGCCCATGGCAACAACTAATTTACTTTGTTTCTGTGGAACCACCAAATCGGGGGTATCAGGATGACAATCCAACCAACTGACCTACCCAGCCAGGGAGGAAGGCACCAATCTTAACTTTCTTGTTATATTTACAGGTCTTTCAATTTGCATTTGCTTGATTACAACTGAGGTTCAACATTTGTTTTGGTGTTTTGGAGGCCAATTTTGATACATGATTTTCTTGATATATGTAGAATGTTTTTTCTATAAAAATAAGTTCAGGTGTTTCTCATAGATAAGTATGTGGCAAAAACTTTTTTAAAAAAAAATATTTTATTGACTTTTCACAGAGAGGAAGGGAGAGGGATAGAGAGTTAGAAACGTCGATGAGAGAGAAACATCGATCAGCTGCCTCCTGCACACCCCCTACAGGGTATGTGCCCGAAACCAAGGTACATGCCCTTGACCAGAATCGAACCTGGGACCCTTGAGTCTGCAGGCCGACGCTCTATCCCCTGAGCCAAACCGGTTAGGGCAACTTTTTCCCTTTCAGTTTTCAGCCATTTGACTTTATGTTTTCATATGATTTAAATCTGAGGGTTTTTTGGCCTTTACGTTTAGCAATTCCTTCTCCCACCTGAGATTAGATGAATAACTTTTATCAAGTTGCTCTTGTTTTTGTTCAACACTATAGTCATCTGGAATACATTTTTACATGGTGTAAAACAAGGTTCTAACTTAATTTTGCAGCCACATGTCTAGACACCATTTACTGAATAATTTATCTTTTCCTTACTGAATGTAGCTGTTAGCTTTATCACGTACTACATTCATACTAAACTCTCCACTTCCTACTGTGTTCCAATGATCTGTCTGCCTGGTGTTCCACCAGTACTACCTATGAGAAAGAAAAATGAAGCACAAGGCAGAGATAAACAATGTGGATAATCAACCTCCAACTTTAAAGTTGATGGACATAAAAAGAAAACTCTGAGTAGCCTTAGGAAACATAAGTTTAAGCTTTGATTATGATTAATTCTTGCAGTTTTCCCAGACCCTGAAAAGGCTTTATTTTCTTGGTGAGGGAACAAAAGTGGAAGAAAGAGAACAGAGAAGCTGACTACAAAGCCAGTGTCATTCCTAGTCTGCCTTAGTAACCGGTGGATGGATGTGGCAGTAGTGCGGAACTATGAAAATGCTATAGGCAAATCATGGAATCAAGAACTTTTCTTGCTGAAACCGGTTTGGCTCAGTGGATAGAGCGTCGGCCTGCGGACTGAAAGGTCCCAGGTTCGATTCCGGTCAAGGGCATGTACATGGGTTGCGGGCACATCCCCAGTAGGAGGTGTGCAGGAGGCGGCTGATCGATGTTTCTATCTCATCGATGTTTCTGACTCTCTATCCCTCTCCCTTCCTCTCTGTAAAAAATCAATAAAATATATTTTAAAAAAAAAGAACTTTTCCTTTGATCAGATGATTAGGAAGACGACAAGAGGGAAAAGTGGAAACGTGACAGCTTACATACCTCAAAACCATGTCCCAAGTACAGAATCATATTAAAACATATGGACTATCCTTGACGCACAAGAATAAAATAGGAATAATTGTAATGCTACCACCATTCTGACTCCACTGAGACAGGGAGAAAACTCAGTATAATTGCCCACAATCAGCTATCTTACCTAGTGATGCATAGGAACCTGGATTCAGGGCACCTGCACCCAAGCGCCCACTCCGCATAGCCTGCCCAGCAGCATGATGTGCCTTGGCACCAGCAGCAGCATTCACATCGATGTCACTTCTTGAACGCTGCAGGCTTCCTGGAAGGGAACCGGCTTTGCTGCTGCCTGCTGCTACTATGGAAAACAAAGCAAAGGTAACCTATATTATCTAAATCACTGCAAACAGTGTAAAACTTATATAAACTTGAAACCATAAGGCCTCATTTTCCTCTTCCATAAAATGGGAAAAAGAGCCCTGACCTGTTTGGCTCAGTGGATAGAGCGTCGGCCTGCGGACTGAAGGGTCCCAGGTTCGATTCCAGTCAAGGGCATGTACCTTGGTTGCGGGCACATCCCCAGTGGGGGGTGTGCAGGAGGCAGCTGATCGATGTTTCTCTCTCATCGATATTTCTAACTCTCTATCCCTCTCCCTTCCTCTCTGTAAAAAATCAATAAAATATTTTTTAAAAAAATGGGAAAAAGAACTATACTTTGTAAAATTCATAGGACTGTTTCGTAGATAAAGAGGTGATTCGTATGACTGCCCCATGAAAATGAAGCTCTATACAACTAAATAGATGGCAGCACTGGTTTTCCACTATCAGAAAAATACAAGGACTAGTCCAGGAGTGGGGTTATTCAGAAAATAATGCAGGTTCTGCCACGCTTAGGCAATGCAAATAGGTTATCAAATTTCTGATCTTTAGTTTTTCAGTTTTAAAAATGAAAAGTTTTACAGCCCAGCTGGCGTGGCTCAGTGGTTGAGCGTCGACCCATGAACCAGAGTCATGGTTCAATTCCTGGCCCAGGACACATGCCTGGGTTGCAGGCTCCATCTTAGGGGTGTGTAGGAGGTAGCCGATCAATTATTCTCTCTTATCATTGTTTCTCTCTCTCCTTCCTTCCTCCCTCTGAAATCAATAAAAATATACTTAAAAAAAAGGAAAAGTTTTACAGTGAACGGTGACCCATTAATAGGCTGTGAAGTGAACTAAGTAGGCCATGACAAGCATTTTAAAGAAATGAAACAATAGGAAACAGAGTACATCCATCATAACTAAGGGTAAGTAGTACTTTGTGAAGCTTCAGATAGTACTATATATGTATTACATGTATGCAATACACACATAGTGTATGGATACTGTATGCACATAACTGTATACACTATACTATATATATATGTAGTATATGTATATGGTATACAAATATAGCTACAGTGTATATGTGTGGTATTAGGTAACTATATAAAATTATTTTCTCACTGTAGGTCAGATCAAGAGTTTAAATGTTTAGAAGAATTTAAAAGCTACACTTTAAAAGCACATCAAAATAGTTCTTAAAAGCTAAACCGTTTAAAGCAATAGTTTTTAAACTGTTTTAATGTGACCCACAGTGAGAAATAGCATTTTATACAGTAACTTTTACTTTATTTACAGAATAGTCTCACTCTGGTCCTTTATTAAATAAAATATGTTATGACTCTTACTTAAAAAGGCAATTTACCTCTTCCAGCCACAGTTGATGGATTTGCTGTAGACCATTTGGAAGAAAAGGGGCGACTGCAAGATAAAAGGAAATACTTTAGGTAAGAAGATATAATTTATCTTTCCTCTGATACAAACTGGTAAAATACCACTGAGTTTTCTAAAGAGTTGAGAAGTACGTTTAAGTTCCCTTTTACAAATCACAATACAACAGTTGTTACATACCAATCACATCTTGGTAGCTGTGAAGCAAAGATCAAATCAGTAAAAATGAATAAAGACTGTAAACTACAGAGACAGAGCCCAGTTTGCTGCTGTTCACTCTGGTTCTTATACACATTACAATGCTCACCACCGAGGGCTCAATTACTCTCCAACACTTGTATTCTGAGAGACTTTACTTAGAGGTGGTGTTCTTACTAGCACAGAGGGAATTCAGAGTAACTAAAATCTTTCTTACCTAAGTCATAATGGTTGTGGCTATTCGCAATCTGTGCAGTTACCACGTAGGTATCACACCACCTATAGCAGTGCTCCTGAGCGACTGGGTGGGGCAAGAACAAAGGCTAGGAACTACCACTGAGGATAACATGCACAATCAGAAAGCAAAGCAGCTCCAATAATTGAAGAATCCACATCTCTCAATAACTCTTTTTTTTTTTTTAAAATATATTTTATTGATTTTTCACAGAGAAGAAGGGAGAGAGATAGAGAGTTAGAAACATCGATGAGAGAGAAACATCGATCAGCTGCCTCCTGCACATCTCCTACTGGGGATGTGCACGCAACCCAAGTACATGCCCTTGACCGGAATCGAACCCGGGACCTCTCAGTCCACAGGCCGACGCTCTATCCACTGAGCCAAACCGGTCTCGGCAATAACTCTTGATTAATTATCTTTATGCAATGGTATTGTATAGCCCATAGATAAGAATGTATCTAAATATATATGTAAGGAAGATCTAAAAAGTATATCTATAAATTTTAAAGGTGGAGAAAGAGAAAAGCAAAACACCAGGTGCCTCATTTGCCTCACTCTGGTCCTACTCCTGCATCAGAGAGCTGCCAAGGAAACCAGCAATCTTTCTGCCTCCAAAGAGACAGAAATTAGAGGGGTAAGCTCACACCCTGTGAGCTGTATTTCCTGGGAAATCTGCAGGTACCTGTGGCACCACTAGGGAGTGCAGACGGCATCTGAGATATTAGCAATCTCATAGGGCTAGAGAGCCAGAAAATAGGGTTACGGCTGCCAAGCAGTAGGGTTTGTAGCAGCCAACACAATGACGAGAATGGAGCTAAAAGCAAAGTGAGTCAGATACTAATTTTGCCCCTTGAGGGAATTGCTGAAATCTGAAGCTGTGCAGATGAGGAACGAAAGCAGTGGAGTTTTCACCAGTTTACACAGTGTTGCCTAACAGTTCTGAAGATGACTTTAGAGTTTCCATGACAATTCCTCCATTGCAGTGCCCCAGAAATGGACTACTTACCATATAAACTATTTTGTGGATATTTTAAAAAAATGTATATAAATGAGTGCTTCCCAATCTTTTTTGCAGACATGAATATATAGAAACAAAATCTGAATCACTAAATTCTTTATTCAAAGAAAAGTTATACCAGCATGTAATCCAACCCTTGAGACATTAGACCAAAGAAAATGAGTACTACTGCCGAAACCGGTTTGGCTCAGTGGATAGAGCGTCGGCCTGCGGACTGAAAGGTCCCAGGTTCGATTCCGGTCAAGGGCATGTACCTGGGTTGCGGGCACATCCCCAGTGGGGGATGTGCAGGAGGCGGCTGGTCGATGTTTCTCTCTCATCGATGTTTCTGACTCTCTATCTCTCTCCCTTCCTCTCTGTAAAAAATCAATAATAAAAAAAAAAAAAAAAATGAGTACTACTTCAAATCATCATTCTCTCAAGGCTTTAAGGGAAAGCAAGCAGATATTCAAGTATCCACCCAACTGAAGGCACACTGGGGAGTTGGGGAGAGGAAGAAATCAGTAATCATCATTTATATGACCTTACTTGAGACTTTCTTGTGAGCTAGATGAAGACCTGTCAGACTGTGGAAGAGATGCTACACTGCCAGAACTCTTTAAGTACGTTTGAAGACTCTTCTGATAAGATGGTTCAAGGGAATTATACAATGTTTCAGCTTCACCAGGAAAGTGGTTTCTAAGACCCATATATGTCCTGTAAAGCAAATGAGCAACATTTTAAAAAAGGGGGGGAAAAAGCACAAAATAACAGCTTTACATTATTAGACATTAAAAATAAAATGCATACATTCAAGAATGCAGGTGAGCATGCAGGTTTTTAAGACATCCACTGTATCTCAAGTGAATGCTTTCTAAAGTTAACAAGTTTTGGAAAAATGTTAGGCTTTTGAGAAAAGCAGATTAAAAGAAATCTGCTTTGGGGCTTGGGTATACCCCAAATCTCCAAACTTCAGGTGCCAATCTTGCACTTCAAATGTTAGAAAAGAATGAATACCAACTGCCCCACACAGTATCAGGTATATAACACATACTCAATAAGTGACAGTTATTTTATTCACAATAAAAGGGAAGATGTATTATGATGGACTAGAAATACTGATGACTATACACATGACAACAAGAAGTAAACTGTGAGACATCTAGTACAGATTTAGTGGAGGAAAATCAATCTCAATTTCACTGAAGAGCTAATCAAAAGTAGAATAACTGGGACAATTCTAATATTTTTATTCTCCCAATATAATTCCTTTCAATGAAAAGACTAAAGTATTTTAAACTGTCACAAAAATACATTATAGACTTACTTTCTTGCTTCCACTCTGGCCTCAGCATCAGCATCATGAATTCCCTTTTTAATAGTTTCAACCAAGACGGCTGCATGTCTATAAAATAAAACATCTTTAGTGTCATGTGTAAAACTATTTTCACCACAAATAACACTTAATGCCTATGTGTTACACATCAATCACAAAGGAGAAAGGGAGGTAAAAAGATTAATTAGTGGACAATAATCTAAGGCTGCAAGATTTTATAATAATCTACCTCATACATTTCATTCATATTCAGTTTTCTTCTGACAAGTTAAACATTATAAACCTGAAAATAATTATTTGGATATGAAATCCAAATAATGTATAAATATATAGTACTCAAATTATAAATTTTTAATGAATAAAAAATGATCTTCTGTTTGGTTCATCACTAACCCACCAATGCAGAAAATGATTTGCTAATAGTATGATCAGTTATAAAACTGAATAGAAGCTGCCACACATGAACTAAAAGAAAACTTGGAATTATATCAAATTATATCATGCCTACATTAAAAAACAAATTCTATTTTCTTTAAAGGGGACTGTGGACAAATTTAATGATTTCCATAAAAATGGCAAATCATCATCATTTTCAGCATAAATGTAGGCATATCCCAAGTTTCAAACTTGAAACCAACAAGAAATACAGCCATACAAATAGCCAGTGACTACCAAACTACCTACATTTTCCTCTTGCTCATCTCAGAACGACATTAAGCACTGCCTATGACACCTGACAGCAGGTGTGGAGAAACTTTTTTTTATCTCTTTCCTTGGAAAGGGAGTGCCTTCCTTCTCTCTTTAGTCATTAATTACTTGATTAATTGCACCTTGGTAAACCTGTCTCACATGACTTAGAGATACATTTTTAATTTCTGCCCAATTTAACCTGGAGTATCTTATATGACTCATTCTACTTAAGAGACCCTCACTCACCTCACAAAGAAGAAAATCATACTATTCATAGCTACAACAAATAAAAGGAACATTACACCACAGCTTTACAGGAAAACCAATACAAATAACTTTTAAAGCAAAATGGGAAATAACGCAAAACCAATACCATCAACTTCTAAAGAACTGGTAACACTGGGGAGGGGAGGGAGGGAGGATAAGGAGGGCTGATTCGTACCTTTCCAATGAATGAGTCTGCCACTCTTGTAACAATAAATCTAAAAATTCAAATGAACGCCTGAAAAAGAAAAGTTAATTATAACTAAATGTTATAACATTATATTAATTTATAACTAAATACTAAGTAGCACTTTCTTCTATAATACTGCACTTTGAGCCCCAAATTGAAGAACAAGCAGCCCTCTGTATTTGTGGGTTTATACCCTTAGATTCAACCAACTAGGGACTGAAAATATTAGGAGTGGCGGCGGGGGGGGGGTCCCCAGAAAGTTCCCAAAAGCAAAATGAATTTGCCACACACCAATCACTATGCTGAATCCACATGATGAAGTACAGTAGGCACACCCTGCTGTAGCCTATATGCAAATATAGGTTATATGCAAATACTACTCCATTTTATGTAAGAGACCTGAGCATCTGCAGATTTTGGTATCCATGGGGATCCTGGAATCAATCCCCACAGATTTCTAAAGACAACTGTATAAGACATGTTTCTGGTCATCTTAATTGTCATGTACTTAACTTACTGCCGGGAGCCGGTCCATCCTTGCTGTTTCAAAGGACCTGGCATATATGGCATACTGCTCTTAAAATGTTTGCTCACCTTCTTGGCACTATGTGTTTTAACTAAGGTCTCTGAGAAAGGTTGTTTCCCCAGGTAGGGATTTTCCCCTGAAGTTAATTAGGGAGGGAATAAAACCTCTTAACTAAGTGCCAGGCGGGTAATTAATCACTTTAACTACGAACAATCGTGCTTAAGCTACATAATCTTTACTCCCTGGAATGGAGATAAAAAACGCCCTAACCTTTGGAATAGAGATTGATAGGATTGGAATCAACTGGTATAAATACAGATGTAAGAAGACAGAACTAAGAAGACAGAACCTACACAGAACTTAGAACACAGAACTTAGAACACAGAACTTAGAAGACAGAACCTACACAGAACCTAGAGACAGAAGAACTTCGCTGGAGAGAACATGGCAAAAGATCCTGGACTGAACCTGACTACAGAAATTGGCAAGAGAACCTGACTAGAACCTGGTGACTGAACCAGGCTGGAAAACCTAGCGAGGGAACATGGCTACAGAACCTGGCTGGAGAACCTGGAGAACCTAGCAAGAGAACATGGACACAGAACCTGGCTGGAGATCCTAACCAGAATTTCGCTGGAGATCCTGACCAGAACTTGGCTAGAGATCCTGGCTAGGCTGCTGATCAACTGAACGCTGTCTCCGTGTCATTTCTTCTTCGCCAACTCCGTCCACACCTTTGGGGACCCCTGGACCTGCTGGGCTGAAACCCCAGCAACTTACTTTAAGGTATCAACTATTTCTATGGTAAGTAGTTAAAAAAGACTAAGAGTTCCCCATACATTTAACTTAAAATGCTTGTCAAGTGTAAAATTAACAAATTTAATTTTAAAAATACTTATCAAATACCTACTATGCACTAGAAATTGAAGATATACAATGGTAATCAAGAAAGATATGATGGATTTTCTATTTTTACAATGTTTCCTTAAAAAGATACACATTTGATTTTTAATCAAATATCTGTACATTTTCTCCTAAGCCTTCTAGTCCTCAACTTCTTCAACCGTCTCATTCTTGAGCTTCTCTTCTTTCTTGGCATCTAATGACAATACTTTTTCTCCACCTATCTTTAAACAGGTGCTCACCTAGTTTGTGTTGATCTCAGCCCACTTCCCTTATAGTCAACTTGGGCAACATCATCTGTACCTGACTACCAGCTATGCTTCTCACATCTAGATGCTGGTTCAATTCAACATCTTTACATAGGCAGGCAGTGAAAGTCAAAACACTACATACAAAAGAACATATGAAATTTTACCCTCTCAAACCCACTCTTTTGGCCCATATTATACAGATCAGGAAATGAGAAATAGTTAAATTAAGTTGCCCAAAGTGATAGAGCTATAACCCCTGGCATTCTGACTCCAGAGTTCACAGCCTAAAACATTTGACATCACCACTCTCATGCGTACCCAATTATCAGGTCTCCTTTCTACACTTGAAATCCTTTGAATTTATTTATTGAATAAAATCTCCTTCAATCAATTACCAACAATATAGCTCTAGTTCAGACCCTGCCTCTCTTCAATGAGTTATTAATATTCCCACTTATTTAAACCTTGTGCCTTCTTAATCACTGTTCATAGCTAGAATAAAGACTAGGATCGAAGACACTGCCTCCTCAGCAAAAACAGTCCAAGAATGGAACAGTGTCAGAATTCCTCTTTATGACATTCAAAGCCTTCTATACTGACTTCAACCTACTCCTGGCCCTTTCTCCTCCACCCCATCAGGCACTTTTCCTACAGAAACCTTCCACTATGTGCTCTGGCCTCAGTGGCCTATCTGACAGCTCTGCAGTGAGTAGCAGCTTTACATCTCTGTTTAAGTTATACCCCACTCACTGCTCCTACAGTTATTGAATTGCTTTCCCTTCTCAAAGAGTTCTATGATGTACTTCCCAACTCCCTCTTCTCTGTTACATTCCTATCCCTCAATTACCATTTTCCTCAACGTAAGTCAGAGATTGGTCAACGTTTTCTGTAAAGAGCCAGAACAGTAAATATTTCAGGTTTTAGGAACCACATGCCATTTCTATTTCTTATTCTTCTTTATTCCCCCTTTCACTCACCCTCCCAAAATGTTAGAAATAGCTTTGGCCGGTATAGCTCAGTTGGTTGGGCATTGTGCCATGTACTGAAAGATTGCCAATTCGATTCCCTATCAGGGCACATGCCCAGGGTTGTGGACTTGATCCCCAGGGGGCGTGCAGGTGGCAGCTGACTCATATTTTGCTCTCACATTAATGTTTCTCTCTCTCTTTCTCTCTCTCTAAAAAAAATCAATAAAAAAATCTGAAAAAACACACATTAGAAATAGTCTTAGCCTGTGGGTTGTACAAACAGTCTTAGCTTGTGGGTTGTACCATTTGGCCAGTGAGCTGTCATTTGCCAACCCTCAAGGAGAGAGTTAATGAACAAATGTCACCAAAACTCCAAAACAAAGTAAATAAGGATGTCTTATCCATCTTCTTCCTAACATTCAAAGTATTAAATAAATATACTCATCAAACTTAAAAGAGAAAGAATTCTTTACAATTTTCTCAAACATCAAATGCACAAATCTCGGTTTGGCTGTCTTTGTTATTGATGGTGATATTAAAATTTGTAGAAATCATAAGAAGAGAGAGAGGGTGACTGATAGACCTGATATGGCTGTTGAATCTATGCACTATGTTCAATTCTACTAATGTGCATCTCATTTAATCCTCAGATCCTATGGGACTGATATCATTAGCCCTATTAACATGTGGACACTGAGGTTTAAAGTGATTCAATAATTGCCAAGGCAGGACAGTCAATTAGTGGCAGCTATAGGACTCCAGCGGAGGCCTGACTCCAGATTCCGAACTCTCTAAAAACCAAGCCATCAGCGACCCAAATAAACCAAAGCTGAATACGACAAAACTGAGAAATGTGGGTAGTCACAATAATTGCTTCATTCCTTTTCCCTTATATGACATAAGATAAACAATTTTATTAAGGTTTCTAGAAGGCAAGAAATTAATAACAACTAATTTTTGCACCAGACCAAGAATAAAACAAAATGCAATATTAAGGCCATACTAAAAAAAAATTTTTCCCCTCCAAACTTACCTTCTCACAGGAACTGATTTTGATGTGCAATTGCTTGTTATTAAAGGTATAAGTCTGGGTACATGAGTATGCTGAAAAAGATGTTTTAGAAAAGGCTGAAAAATACTGGGCACTTCACATAATCCCCTCTTTTATTTGTCTTACATTCACATATTTATATTAGTACAGGACAAAAAGATAATAAAATCTGATTTTGAAAGAAATTAAGGCCAGTCAAAAAGTTTTCCCAAATTAGAGTACTAGTAACGATAACATAGTTTCAGGTGTGGTTGTAATATTATAAAGACAAGCTAATTGTACAACTGCAAAGAACCGTTAGGACAGTGTGACTCTGGGGGAGAAACACTAAGAGAAACTGGCATGTATTTGTTATATTTTCTGAAGTACCATGGCTCCTCCTGGTAGAAGATAATAACTGCTATGTAATCAAAGTAGGTAATCAGTGTGAATCTACATACCTAACTATTGGGAATGCACTTTGAAATGGTGACTTTAACTGAACTTTCATTCTGGCTGAACTATAGCTCTCTAGAATTCAGGTAAAGTTCAATAGGTATAATCTTCTGACTTCTATTAGTAATTCTTATGCTCTTCTTTCGCGAAGCAAATGCTAAAAAGTTCAACATAGACATAATACAATAGTAACTAAAGTATACATTTTTGATGCTTTAAAGCTCTATTTTCCTTCTGAGTTAATGGTACAGGCTGGGTTACCTATGAAACAGGGTCTGAGATAAGAGTTTAGCATGAGGCTATTAAGACATGCCCTTGGGATCAACACCTGTGGAAGGTATGAAAAGGAAAGAGGAGTGGGCAGAGGAAGAAACTGACCTATTATATGGCCCAAGGATATCTTATCTAAAGGCCATTAGGGAGCTATAGAGTTAAAATGGCCCTTCAGCATAGTCTCGAATTGGTCCAAGATGGCCAAACCTTTACACTTCCACATCAATCAGTTAATGGATGAGGGCCATACTGAGAAGGGGCAAGACCGTGGGAAAGGCAGCTCCCTGCAATTGAGGCAATCCTTGAAGAGGCTGGCATTTGAAGGCTCTCTGCCAAGAGTGCTTCATTACAAGTCTTCACTGATGTAGAATGTGCGTACCACATCTGCCACAATTAACTCAACCGAAATAAAAGAGAAAACTTTTTTTTAGCTACTACAGAGAGAAACCACCCATAGACTCGAAGCTGTTCAAGAGACTAGTGCAAGAGAGTGCTTACCTGCATGTTATTCAACTGTTACATTCAGTATGGAAGCACTCTATGGACCTACTCCTTAGAACATCCAGAACTCATTCCTCAAACATTACTATGGAGTTAAAGTGCAAGGACAGTCCCTAAGCCACACACACAACCATTTCTCACTCACCAGCCTCCTCCTCTCTCTCATCATCTCCCCAAGGCCCGACTGCTGATTAGCCCACCTCTCACACATGGCAGGGATGGGGAGACACCTAACTATTGTGACACTATATTCAGGGGTAGCTGTGCCAAAGGAAAATAAAAAATGACCCTCGCAATGACAAAACATTCAACCAAATACTAAGAACAATTCAGACTTTAACTTATTAATATCAGTAGAGTCAACAATAGTAAAAATAGTAAAAATTTCCCTGTCATCATTTACCACTGTCTATAACATTTTTACTATTTTACATCTATAGCCTGTTACTACCTGTAACATTGTTAGAAGTGCACACACACATGCATACATGTACTCATGTGTATATGTTGGTAAAAATGTTTACTTTGTAATACTCTGCATTATTTAAATGTTCCAGAATAACTATAATTACCATGTATTGCTTTTATTATCAGAAAAGTAATTCAAAAGTAATTTTCCCTTGGAGTTAAAAAAATACCAATAACTTATTTAAGTACATTTTTAAAAGGGGAAAGGAGGGAGAGAAGAGAAGAACCTACCCGAATGATGAACCTGATTGCTGCACATCCAGAAGTTGCCATGACTTTTGCACTATTGGGGACGAGATTAAAAAGTGTAGGTACTATGGCCTCAGCGCCATGATCAAATTTGTTTCCCAAAACTGTTGATAGATGGCTACAAAGGAAGACAAAAATGCTTTTTAAAAAACAGTTTAACATTAAATATAGGTAGGACCATACAACTTTAAAATATTCTTTTACTCAACTTAAAATTTTTATTTTATTCAGTTTTTATGACAGAAAACAAAAAAAAGATAGGAAAGCGCAAATATTATATATTTCCTTCTCTTTCCCATCTTTTAAATATCAAGTCCAAAGTTGAAATTTGCCATTTTACCATCTATTTGCAATGGCGCTTGGAGAAGCTATCTGATCTCAAAATTTAACCATTAACATTACAGGTAAAAAATTTAGCTGTTTACCCTGACCTTTATCTATCTCTATCATCAGATATTTCCATACTAATGTACCAATATGAATCTTAAATTCAACATCTTTTGTAAACAAGTTCAAAATCTGACCTAAATCAGTACCCCTCAAGATAATCTCTATTTCTATTAATGGTATCCCCCCACTGTATTAGTAACAAATATTCCCTGATATCTTTGGAGTAGGATTTCAGAATTCTTGATTGAAAATACAACTCTATCATATACTAGTTAGTTGGACAATCCTAGGGATACCTTATTTGTAGTTAAACAACAAATCCAACTTTTAATTTTATGATTTTAGTCAAAACACTTAGGAAGAATGCTGCAATCACAATTCTGAAAACGCTTGCATTATTGGTTAATGTCTATATATTTATATCTTACTTAAAATACATGGTTGGGATACATTTAGTTCCAAAAAATTCAGGTTCTTGATTCAGAGAACTCTGGAAATTGTTGCTTATTTTATAACTTCCAGAAGTTCTTACTGGTATATAGGCAGCTGCAACTCTCACATGCACAGATTAGTATTCAGCTAGACCAGTGGTCGGCAAACTGTGGCCCCTTGAGTGTGGCTTTTCCACAAAATGCCATGTGCAGGCATACATGTACAGTGCGATTGAAACTTCGTGGCCACACTCAAGGGACCAAAGAGCCACATGTGGCTTGCGAGCCGCGGTTTGCCGACCACGGAGCTAGACTCATGGGATCCCCTATAGAGATTTCTACAGCTCTTTTTGTGTGTATATCTCTTCTCTCCAGTATTCTGCACTGTAAATTTTAGCTACTGAGCTGGCCTGGTGGGTCAGTTGGTTGGAGTGTCATCCTATAGAGCAAAGGGTTGTGGGTTCAATTCCCGGTGAGGGCACATACCTAGGTTGCAGGATAGGTCCCTGGTGGGGACACATATAGGAGGCAACTGATAGATGTTGATAGATGTTTCTCACATCAATATTTCTCTCTCTCCCTCTCTCTCCTTGCCTCTCTCTCTAAAATCAATAAGAACATATCCTCGGGTGAGGTTTTAAATTTTTTTTAGCTATTTCACCCTTCAGAAACTCCAATCTCTTGTTTCTTCTCAACTTGGTGCAACTGCCTTGCTCTGCTTGAGTTCTCCCTCCCATCCCCATGGTCCAGAAAGTGCTTCAAGGTCATAACTATGCTGGTCATATTGTTCACAAGATTTGATTCTTTCAAGAATCATAGTCCTCCTCTGGCCGCTGTCTATTATTTTAAAAAAGGTGTTTTACATATTCTGTGGCTTTCTGCAAGAGGGGAAGTCCTCTACTAGTATTGTATCATGGCCAAAAGCAGAATTCTCATCATGGAATATTTTTCTTTTTGTAGTTTTTTATTTTTATTTTTTGAGAGAGAGAGGAGAAGAGGGATAAGGAGAGTAAAACATCAATCAGCTGCCTCTTATAAGGCCCCTACCAGGGATCGAGTCCACAATCCGGGCATGTGCCCTGACTGGGAATCAAACCAGCAACCTTCCAGCGCACAGGACAGTGCCTAACCAACTGAGCCACACCATCCAGGGCTGGAATACTTTTCAAAGTTACATTTCGTGGATTTTCATTTTGTTTTGCAATAGAGATATATTCAATTATTTTGGTACACTGGTATACTGACTTATATCTAGCAATCTTGGTAAAGTGCCTTAATTATAATTATTTATTATAGATTCTCGTGGTTTTCAGCATAGATAATTATATCACTCATTAAAAATGGGAGTTTGTTCCTTATCTTGAATCTTCATAGTTTTTATTTCCTGGTGTGTGTGTGTGTTTGTTTTTAATTTTATTTTCTGTTCTGACTAGAACATCCAATTCAATCCTGATTAGAAATATTAATAGTAGGCATCTATGTGTTCCCTATCTTCAAAGGAATGCTTATTCAACAACATATACAAAAAAAGTATTCAGATGGAGAGGAATTTTAGGGTTCTACCATCCTTAAATTTTGGAAGAATATAAACATACAGAATAAGTTTATATTTTGATAAGTTAATGATGCATGTTATAATTCCTAAAATATCAGAAATAGAGAGCTTAATATCCAAATTAGTAAAGAGAAAACTGAATGTAGCCAGTTCTCAGACCCATTCACTTTCTTCTTACACTCAGAGTTAGTGACCAAAAATCCACCTGTAGGCTTTAGACATATAAACACATTTGAAAGTTGGTATAAAGTAATGTTAAGAATTTTTTTTTTTAAAATCACACAAATTGGCCCTCGCTGGTTTGGCTAAGTGGACAGAGCGTTGGACTGCGAACTGAAGGGTCCCAGGTTCGATTCCGGTCAAGGGCACGTGCCCGGGTTGCAGGCTCGAACCCCAGTTGGGGGCATGCAGGAGGCAGCCCATCAATGATTCTCTCATATCATTGATGTTTCTATCTCTCTCTCCCTCTCCCTTCCTCTCTGGAATCAATAAAAATATTTTTTTTTTAAAAAGTCATACAAATTGGATCCTTATGATATAAATGATCTTTGGATCACATATATGCTTTTTGGGGGTTATTTTGCTACTGCTTTACTTAATGAGATCTGATTCAATGAGTACCAAATTCATTCACAGGAAACACATCACATAAAGAATATACTTACGCTACAGTAATACAAGCTTCTCTAACCACCTGGGATCTAAGATCCTTAGCGGAAAGTTTAAGTGCTCCATCCAACAAGCGTAAATGTTGAAAAAAGCTATCATATTGTGCAGCTCCAGCAACAAGCAATGATCGAATTTTCTTAAGCTGAAATAAAGAAAATTAGCATTATTGACCAAAAAAAGTGGCAGTGCAAAAAAAAATCGTAAAGCTATCTGAACTTCATTATTTAAACAAAATTTAAAAAATAACATTTCATTCTATTTATATAACTATATTCAGACATTTTAACAGTATTAAACATCTTAAAATAAACATATAAACCAAAACACAAAGCTTTCTGGGAAAGAACATTATAGATTTGGTTATATGCATAATAGACATATGTAATGTATGAATACATTACTAAATTTTGAAGTTTTAAGGAAGTATTTTTTTTAATAGCCTATGGTAAAATTCACATTTACATAAAATTTACCATTTTAAAGTATACAATTCAATGGCACTGAGTACAATCAAAATGTTGTGCAACTATTACCACTATATACTAAGGAGACTATTTTTAAAAGGGCCCAATTCTGGAAACTATATTCATGCATAAACAAAAGAACAGAGGCAGAGGGACCAACCATTAAGCCATCAAAATAGAGACTCAGGCTCTCAGAGCGGAGGAGTTTTCAAATGGAACCCCTCCTCTGGCTTCTTGAGGACAATGAGGCACTCATGTGTTAAGTCAGAAGGAAATTTGTCCAAGTCACAAACTTTGAATTATAGTCTTTTGACATTGCAAATATCATTTTAAAATTTATCAAATAGTATCTCAAGGATTTAAGTGAAATAAAATATTCTTAATGAAAAAATATCAGGCCTTTTTCTTTTTAATCATGGTTGTGAAAATATTTATCACATTCAGAGAGAGAGACGTGAGAGAGAAAAAGAAAAAGCCAGACAAATGGCCATATTGTCGTGAATTTATACTGACATTATGAAAATACTGAGTATGCCGGAAAAGTAAACCCTGTAAGAATGAAGGACAGTACTGACTATGTAGCCCCACAGACAGGCCACGGCCCTGTGGCATCAGGGAAGCTCGCACTTTCCTGGTCACTCAACAAGTAGCACAGGTAGAGAGACTAACAAACGGGTGAGACAGGTTCCACCTGACCAGCAAAAACAACAAAAATTAGCCTAAGTCAGAAATACCAACTATCTCGATGTACTTTCCAGAAAGAAATATCACTTATCAGACTATTTCATAAGTATCTGAAATACCAGAGAGTAGTACTACGGAATTTCCATGTTTTTGAAAAAGAACATTGAAAAAAAGAGGAGAGGGATAAGAAAATAAAAAACTTACTGCATTGGCACGCTGATCCCAGTCATGCTTGTCATCTGACAAAATTTCCCTGATTTTATTTAATGTTTCTTCAAGTTCTCGACCAGAATAGATCTTAAAGATGCAAAATTGTAAGGTTAACATTTCTTACCATAAGCAATGTTAAAATTATTCCCTGATGTTTAAAATAATCTTTCAAGTAATAAGGTTATTTATTTACCATTCTAGCACCATTTATACGAAGGATGGAAATATATTATGGACAATAATAAAGTGCTTTAATTTGTTTTCCTTCCCTGTTACCCTTATGCTACTTCTTCATTCATGAGTAATTTCAAATATACATTTAAAATGCTTTATCATTTAAAAACAAGATGCAAATAGTCCAATTAATAAAAATAGGCCTAATTTCTCAAAACAACTTCAGGTATGTATCTATGCATTCATACACTATTATACTATACTAGTAGCCCTGCACACGAATCCGTGCGCCAGTAGCTCTCTGTGGGGCCTGGCTGCTCCGGGCCCGCTGCCCAGAGGCTTTCCACGGCCCAGAGGCCCATTCGTGGGTGGGCACAGGATGCTTGCCTCATCGCAGTCGCCCGGGACTGGGTGACTCTGGCAGGACTGAGAGGACTGGGCGCTGCCATCTTGTGGCTATGGGCGCCGCCATCTTTGTGATGGAGTGATGGTTAATTTGCATATTACCCTTTTATTAGATAGGATTGCAATAGGACATGTTTTAAGTTAGTCTCCTCACTGCCCCATGCGAGACAGTAACCAGGATAGCTACATGTTCTGTTTCCCCTGGAGCCTATCATTTGCCAAACACCATTATCCTTTCATTCACTTAAAAAATATTCACATAACAGAAATGTACTATGTTCGGCACTAAGAATACTGTGGTGAGCAAAAACAGACATGTTTCTTGTATTATAAAGTTTATAGTCTGGTCAGGGAGAGAGAGAAAGAAATAAATCAAATGATATAAAATATGAAATTGCAAATAAAGTATCACCAAAGAGAATTATACATTACTATGAAAGTCTATAGTTAATATAGGGGTTTGAACTAGTGTTAGAAAAGTCAAGCTTGAACAGAGAGCTAAAGGATGAGTTAAACATCATTAGGCAAAGTGGAGAGAGATAAGCCTTCCCTGGAGTAAATAGTATGTGCAATAGCTCTGTGACAGAAAGAAACCAAAAGAAGGCCAGAGTATAGGAGTAAAGAGTGCCAAGGAGCCCAGTCCGTGTGGCTCAGTGGTTGAGCTTTGACCTATGAACAGGAGGTCACTGTTCCATTCCTGGTCAGGGGACATGCCCAGGTTATGGTCTCCATCCCCAGTGTGGGGCATGCAGGAAGCAGCTGATCAATGATTCTCTATCATCATTGGTGTTTCTGTCTCTCTTCCCCTCTCCCTCCCTCTCTGAAATCAATAATAAATAAATAAATAAAGAGTGCAAAGGAAACCAGGGGAAGAGTCAAGGCCCCAGGCTTACATAAATCAATACCCAGTATCTCCCTACATAACAATCAAGATTCAGAGGTGGGCATGTGACCTAAATCAGAGTGAATCTCACAAATTTTACAGGATTAAACAGACAAGAGACAGAGGGTAATGAAGGTCTGAGGCTCAAAGAGTTGCAGCCATGTTGCTGACCATAAGGGAAGACAGTGCAGAGCAATCCAGAAATAAAAGATGGAGAGAAAGGGGGTCCTAAGTGATACCATCTGGGTGGTATCAAACAGATACCTTCATCAAAACAGCCCTACTTATATCTGTCACTATCAACAACCATTAAATTCCAATAAATTCATTTACTTAAAAAACCATTAAATTCATTTACTTAAAAAACAAACAAACCACGCCCAAACAAGAGTACCAAGTTGAGCAGGGCATTAGACAGTTGAAGAGGTAGGAGGACGACCAGATAACATTCTGTTAGAAGATAATTTCATGAGGCGGCTTATCTAGTTTTTTCTACCACCCCTCCTCCCACCCCAGACAATAATCATTCTGCCATATTTCAAAAGAAAGGCAGGTTCCCATACCACTCCCAATCTTATTATGATGCATTACTCTGGAATGTAATAAAAGGTTCCCCTCCCCCCAACAAGGAAAAAAGGGTCCACTAAAAAATTTACTTCAGTGAGAGAGTACACTATTTTTTAAATACTCTTTTAGGAGGTATATAAACAAAAAAGGTTTGAATACAAGTAAAGAATCTGTTGTAGTATAATGATTGATTCCTAAGTTTCTGACCTTTGTAACTGATCAAGTAATGGTTTCCACATATAAACACTGGAAGGGTAGGTGTGTGAGAGGGAAGATCATGAGTCTAATTTCAGACAGGCTGAGTTTGAGATGCCTCAGACATCTAAGAACAGATGTCAAATAAACAATCAGTGGAGAAATTGATGCTCCAGAGGTCTGGCTTAGAGATAAAAATCTGTGCATTATCTATGTAAAGAAGATAAGTGAAGCCATGCATTTAAAGGAAGTGACTTAGTAAGAAAGAGAAGAGTGAGAAAAAAAGCTAAGAAATCCCAATATTCACTAGCTAAGTAGAAAATGATGTGCCCACAAAGGAGATACACATGAAATGACAAAAACGTAGGAGGAAAACAAAGGAGGGGAGAACACTCAAGCACCTTAAAAAGAAAGTAGAGCAGTTGGACGATGCAATATAATATATCCTATCTAATAACAGACAAACATGGTAATTAACCATACCTCCGCTACACTTCCCATTGGCTAATCAGGGCGATATGCAAATTAACTGCCAACAAAGATGGCGGCTGGCAGTCACGCAGCTGAAGCAAACAGGAGGCTTGGTTGCCCTGGCGATGGAGGAAGCCAAGGTTCCCCGCCTGCCGCAGCCGGGCTCTGAGCTCCAGTCTAAGTAACAATGTTGCAATTATAGAAGCTAAACAAACCCAGAAATCTGCTTTCAGCCAGCCGGCCTTGGAGCTGAAGCCGCAACAAAGTCGCAATTACAGAAGGTAAATAAATCCCAGAATAAAAAAAGAAAAAAAGGAGAGACTGGGAGCTTCAGTTGCAGGCTTGGCCTGCCTGAAAACAGCCCTCAGCCCCTCATCCAGGCTGATCAGGCACACCAGTGGGGACCCCCACCCTGATCCGGGACACCATTCAGGGCAAGCCAACCTGCCCCCACCTGTGCACCAGGCCTCTATCCTATATAGTAAAAGGGTAATATGCAAACTGACCCTAACAGCAGAAAGACTGGGAATGACTGGTCACTATGACACACACTGACCACCAGGGGGCAGGCGCTCAAAGCAGGAGCTGCCCTCTGGTGGTCAGTGTGCTCCCACATGGGGAGCTCTGCTCAGCCACAAGCCAGGCTGATGGCTGCCAGTACAGCGGTGGTGGTGGGAGTCTCTCCTGCCTCCTCAGCAGCGCTAAGAATGTCCGACTGCAGCTTAGGTCTGTTCCCCGCTGGCAAGTGGACATCCCCTGAGGGCTGCCAGGCTGCCAGAGGGATGTCTGATTGCCATCTTAGGCCCAATCCCCCCTGGGGAGCAGGCCTCAGCCAGCAGGTGGTCATCCCCCGAGGGGTCCCAGACTGAGAAAGGGCACAGGCCAGGCTGAAGGAACCCCTCCCCCCCCCCACCGAGTGCACAAATTTTTGTGCACTGGGCCTCTAGTAATTCAATAATATGGATTCAATTTTATTTCAGCCTCACTGAAAAATCACTTGGAAAATCTAACTGTACCAACAAATAATAGCTTGGTAATAATAAGCCAAGTATTTTATTTTTACATAGTCTTTTAAGGAAAAAGTATTTTTAAAGTGACAAAAGCAATTATCTGAAGAGGCACAGAGACAACATTCCTGAGAAGTGCCAGTATACTGGTATCCTTACCTGAATAGAAGGGACATCTGTAAAGGCTTTTATAAAATCTTCTTCATCAACTGCTCCAGCACCTCCTTCCTTAGAAGCACCTGCTAATTTAAAATAATTTTACTCTTTAAAGTTTATTTTTAAGCATTTTAGCATCAATACCAACATGAAAAACATAATTTTTTGAGCATAACTTTAAGAGACATTCATTTTATAAAAAAGGAATGAAAAAAATCTCCACTTTTCAGAAAGGTCAAGGTACTTAGTAGTAGGCTGGCAGTAAAATTCAAACTAAGAACAGAGCCCTTCCATCCCTCATCCAATATAATAACAAGGACAAAGAAAATGCAGTGAAAATATAAGGTTTAAAAGCTGAAAAGCAACTTTAAATGACAAAATGTGTCAACAAATAATGGAAAATGTGATATACAGGATCCATGTGTGCTGCAGGGGTCAGAAAAGCAAATGTGAAAAAATGAGAGTCTTGAGATTATCTATAATAATAAAAGTGTAATATGCTAATTAGACCTGATGTCTTTCTGGACGACCTCCCAGACAAAGCTGGGCTGCAAGGGAAGCCCGGGTCTCGGGTGCCTGCCGGAGGTCAGAGGGAAGCTGGTGCCAGAAGCCGGGGGAAGGAAGGCCTACTCTTGCACGAATTTCATGCATCGGGCCTCTAGTATTTAAATATTCAAACAAATCATCCTTTATTGCACACATACTATCAAAAAGTAAACTTGATAAGTAGCTGTTGTTTAGGACCCAATAATTAAGCTACTGTCTTTCAGCTTCAAAGTCACTCTCTTATATTCAGTGGTACTGGGCCTAGGATTAAGCAAACCATTTTTGTGATGATTCTAGTGCCTTCCAGTTAAACTCTGTCAATGGGAGTGATGGAGAGAGACTGGAAGCTGAAGGAAGAAGGGACCTTCCTGCCCCTACCTGACTGCTTCTTGTTCTTGTCAGCAAAACCCTAGAAACTCTGGAAGGACTTCTGTTTCCAGTAGTTTCTGGTTTCACTTTGTACTTTTTTCTAACACTCACTAAACCAGTTCACATGCATCCATCAGAGGCATCAGTCATCTATACTCCCTCCTCAGAAGTCTGAATCAAGGCTCTGCAGGGCCCCTCCTCTAAATCTCTCAAGTTTTAATAATTTTAACCTCCTCGTTTTGTTTCTCCAGCTCTAGGAATAGGAGCTATGTACTGTAGCTGCTGCTACCTCCATGATACTTTAGTGATCTCTTTTTGCATTAATTCAGCAATACCCATTTAACAATTCTTTATATTAAACTCTCTCGGTATGAATACCTGTTGAAGTTTCTGTCTCCTAATTGAACCCTGGCTGACACAAGGGATACTTAGTTACTATCTCTACTTTATATATTTATTACTTCAGGGTAAGAATTCAACACCTGAAATGGATTTCAACTACATAAGATATATGTCCAAATGATAATTAACTAAAAAAAAATCTCCAAGTAAAAAATTAAATTAAAAGTAACTCCCCAATTAAGTTTATCTGCCAAAGGAAATATTAATATTTCAAAATTGGATTTAAAAAGTTAATATCATCCTAATAAAAACAATACTCAGGATTTCCAAAGGCATGTAAGAAGAGCCTCAACTTCAAAAAAAAAAAACAAAAACAACCTTTGAAGACCTTTGTATGTGACTTGACCACAGAACAGCATAACAAAGCTATTAGGCAATAAAAACCGCAAATTAAAAGCAATGACAATTTAATAAACTAAGAGAGAAATGAATGTGTGGTTGCTATAGGAAATTCAATTACAAGAGTAAATAAATTACAGTTATTCCCTAAATATTAAAAAAATCCAATAAAACAATGAACTCTCAACCCCATCCAAATGATCATTCCAAGTAACTGATTAACTGAAAATAATTAAAGCGAATAAACAAAAAATAAGATACCTACCCTTATTAACATATTACATTCATTTACAAATCTCTTAATAGGGGTTTACTGTTTTTGACAGTAGGTCCTCTAATAGGAGTGCAAAATCTCGATTTTTTAAAAAATTCTTCCCAATCTTTCACAATTGTCTTACACAGACCACTAAACAGAAAATTCTTTAGAGACAGCATTATCAAGTAGTTCCTCAACATTTAAGTTTTCATTAAAAAAGAAAGATAAACTTTCCACACTCATTAATATTTTGTACATTTATACATCACTTCTTGCAATTTACTTTGTTACAGTAACAAGAGCAACCATTAGGCATGTCTGGGAACACACAATTGATTTCTGGAAAGTATATACTTCAACTGATAGAGGAGACCTGCACAGATGTACCAGAGCAGAAGTTAATAACTCAGTGTGCTGAACTGTAGAAGACAATTTTACAGAGGAATGGAAAAGCAAAGGGGAGAACAGTATCAAGAGTTACTACAGTGTAGCCCTGGCTGATTTGGTTCAGTGGATAGAGTGCTGGCCTGCGGAATGAAGAGTCCCAGGTTTGGTTCCGCTCAAGGGCACAATGCCCGAGTTGTAGGCTTGATCCCTAGTAAAGGGCTTGCAGAAGCCAGCTAATCAGTGGTTCTTTCTCATGATGGATGTTTCTATCTCTCTCTCCCACTCCCTTCCTCTCTGAAATCAATAAAAATATATTTTAAAAAAGAGTTACTACAGTGTATATGCAGTATATAAAAGGTATTACACATAGGACAGAATGTTAACTCCACAGCACTATGTCAAAAACCTTCAAGGGAATGCAGAGCACCTGATTAAGTCCCAAATAAGGCCAGAAAAAATGGGCCATTGACTAGGAACATTACATAGGAAAGCCTAACTTTGAAAATTCACTCTAATCATAATACCTTTATTATCCAGTAAGTTCTGTCTTATGAGTAGGGCCAAATAAGCTTGTGGGAGGAAAGGGAGGAGAAAGAGAAATCACATGGCTTTTAAAAGTCCCACAGAAGCTGCAGAGTGAAAAGGCTACAAATATTACTCAAGGCAGCTTTATGATTATCTCAGATGTGACAATTAGATCTCTACACCTGGACATGAGCATTACCAATTTAGCAAGAACTTGCATAGTTTGAATAGTTGCTCCCAATCTACCTGACTCCTATCTTTTGAGAATCACTTTGTATAAGCAGAGCTGCTGCCAATGGGAGTGCACTGGGTATGTGAATAGTGTTAACAGAGAACATGCTGAGCTCCCCATTCTAGCCTTGTTTATCTCTTGTATGCATTACAGTAAACTTTTTTACCATCCTAGTTTGCCTAATATTTCCCCTCACCTTGGTTTTGTCTGGCCAATAAAGTAAAAAAGGATCCCTGTATAAGAGAACAATCTGTTAAATAACTGTTTCACCTCACAATCATCATTCCATTCCAATACAGCTTTAAAAATTCACCTAAAAAACTGTAAAATACTTTTAGCACCAGCAGGGAGAATGGATACCACAGGAGAGATAAAAAGAGTAATGGGCCCTACTGTCAACTATTAAAGCAAGCAAAGGAGAGCGAGTATACATATCAAAAGGAGATGTATTAGATAAAACAAGTTTGAGAGCAGGAGCACAAGTAGAGAGAGGGCTGAAGGAGGGAGCAATATTGGCTTTCAACTTGACTAAAGCTCTTTGAAACATAACTGGGTCAACAATCACACTAAAAGATATAAATGGGCTAAAACAGAACGGAAGAGCGTTGCTCAATTGCCTAACCACTCTAAAACAGAGATAAATTTTTCTGTAAAGGGCCAGATAGTAAGTATTTTAGGCCTTGTGGGTCATATGGTTTCTGTTGCAATTACTCAACTCTGCCATTGTAGTGCCAGAGCAGCCACAGACAATATGCAAATAAACGAGCAAGGCTGTATTCCAATAAAGCTCTATTTATGGAGCTTCAAACTTAATATAATTTTGTCACTTATACCTCAAAAAAGGAAAAAGACAATGCATTGAATCTATAGATGAGTTTGGAGAAAACTGAGAGCTTTGTAATATTGTCTGCCTACCCAGGAAAATAGTATGCCCATTTACTTAATGCCTTTTAAAATTTATTTCAATAAAGTTTTATAATTAAAAAAATACTATGTTCGATAATAACAAGTATTTTGAGGTACAAGCCAAACCAAACCAAAAAAGTGAAAACCTTTTAGGGAAAAAATAATAAACATTAATGAGCCCAGATGGTTTAGCTCAGTGGTTGAGCATTATCCTATGAACCAGGAGGTCATGGTTCAATTTCCAGTCAGGGCACAAGTCCGGGTTGCAGGCTCGATCCCCAGTAGGGGGCGTGCAGGAGACAGCCAATCAATAATTCTCTCTCATCACTGATGTTTCTATCTCTCCCTCCCTCTCCTTTCCTCTCTGAAGTCAATAAAAATATATATATATAAAAGAAAGAGAAGATAAAGGTTCTATAACGGTATCACAGAAGCAGAAGCAAAAAGCTCCCCCTGCATCATTTAGTAATGAAACTGCATTTCACTATACCAACAGGAGAGGGCATTTTGAGCTAAGAAATTGAGTAAATCCCCCCCCCCCCCCCCCCCCCCCGGACCCCACAGAATCACTTGTTATATTCTTCGGAAATTTAAGGAAATTTGAATATAGAAGAGAGTATTTAAAAGGAGGTAAGTAGCCCTAGCCGGTTTGGCTCACTGGATAGAGTGTCAGCCTGGGGACTGAAGGGTCCCAGGTTCGATTCCGGTCAAGGGCATGTACCTTGGTTGTGGGCACATCCTCAGTAGGGGGTGTGCAGGAGGCAGCTGATCGATGCTTCTCTCTCATCGATGTTTCTAACTCTCTATCCCTCTCCCTTCCTCTCTGTAAAAAATCAATAAAATATATATTAAAAAAAAATAAAAGGAGGTAAGTATATAGTTTAAAAATAAATTTACAGAAAATAAAAGGGCTAAAAGAACAAGTTAAAAACATCACAAAGAAATCAGACAAATTCATGACATGAAATGATCTCAGACAACTGGCCTAGACTCCTCAAAAAAGTCACTGTCTTGCTCTGGTTGATGTGGCTCACTTGAGTGTCATCCCATGCACCGAGAGAACATGAGTTCGATTCCTGGTCAGGGCACATGCCCGGTTTGCGGGCTTGATCCCTAGTAGAAGG